TGATTCTTCAGTGATACTATATGGACACTTCATACATTTTTCTGTAGTGTAATTATAGTCTGCGTAGGCCTGGTCTTTTTCTTGGGGGCGGGGGGCGCGGGGGGAATGGAGTCTCACTCTGTTGCCCAAGCTGGAATACAGTGGCGTCATCACAGCTCATTGCATTTTCAAACTCTTAGGCTGAAGCAATTCTTCTTCCTCAACCTCCCAAGTAATTGGGACTACAGGTGCTGCCTGCTACGATGCCTGGCTAATTTTTTCTAGTTTTTGTAAAGACAGGGTTTCACTCTTGCTCAGGCTGGCCTCGAACTCCTGGCCTCAAGCAATCCTCCCACCTCCACCTCCCAGAGTGCTAGGATTATAGGTGTAAGCCACTGAGCCCAGCCAGGCCTGGTCTTTTCACTCTTGGGTCTTTGTCATTGGCCACGTTTCATGTTATGTTTCACTATAATATAGTGTCAGCTTCTGTATGCATCCTCTTTATGCCTATATTGTAGAGAATTGTAGGAATACATACCTAAGAAATAGTTTATTATTAATGGAACAAGGAATTGCCCAGTTGGCTTTTGGCATGAGATTACTTGACTTTTTCCCCTTGATTGTGACATATTTGAAATTTTTGTTAGCTATACAGATATTGAAGCAAGCCCTCTTTCCTTTTATAAAAATATTGACAATTGCTCTGTGATATCTGAACGTTTTATTATTACTCATTTTTATAGTACTTTTCTTAAAGATTAATAAAAATTCCTTTATAGCAACTATGATGGTAGTGGTAATAGCAATTTTTAAGCACTTTTTAGCCTTTAAAGTGCTTTCACACATGTTATCTCATTTGATCCTCATATCAGCTTTATGAAATGCACTGTGATATTAAAAAGTATGTAAGATCATTGAAATATATTGACACATGACTAAGTTCCCTTCTCTGTCCCTGTAAAAAAAAAAAATAGAAATCTCTTAATTTTTTAGCTGTGCCTTCTCATACCCTTTTCATTCCATCTAGGAAGAAATCTTCCTAATATACTTTCTCATGCCTTAGATCATATTCCCTATTTAGATCATAAACAGATCTCTATTATCTATCAAATGAAGTATAAATATATCACTTCAGCATTAAACAGTCTACATAATTTGGCCCCAACTTACCTTTCCAGCTTTGTCCACCAGTATTTTCATCAACAAACTCAGTCTTCCTTTTCCTTCATTCCATGCTTATTCTGTATGTCTGTGTTTGTGCTATTATGCTGTGATGGAATTCTTTCCATTTTTTCCTCAATCCATTGGAATCTTTTTAATAAGTAGTCCTAGCTTTTCCTTAAGGCTTTCCCCCAAACTTCAGCCTATTATATCTCTTATTTTCTGCATTAACCTAGTAATAATTATCTGTGCCATATTCTGTAAGTTTTTATATCACATCTATGTCCAACATGTGCTTTTCTTTATTGTTTTAATTATTTTGTATGTAGTGACAATACTAACAGCTAACACACAGTGCTTACAGTATGCCAGACATTCTTCTTAGTATCTTATAGATACTGACTTATTTAATCCTCACAACAACCCTATGAGGTAGGTACTTTTATTATCTCTCCATTTTGTCGATGAGGAAGCTAACACAGAGAAGTTCTTAACTTGCGGGGCCAGGATATAAACCTGGTCACTAAGTCTTGGCACACAGACTTGTTGACAGTGAGCCAAAGCTTACACAGTATACCTCCCAGCAGCACAGAGCTCCTATCTATGCAGATGATACCTAGTATTTAAATCAATCATGTTAATAATTAGACCTTTTCAATCTCTTCATTTGTTTGAGACCTGGACCTCCGCTTCTCAGTCCAAATAGGGCTGTTACGACCTGTTTCTTAATTTGGCAGATGTCTATTTTTCTGTTAGTTTGATTGCTATATTGTAACACAGTTTCCATATTTTCTGCAGCTCTTATTTTCATAATTGAAGAATAATATATAATTCTATATTTTATTTTTTTTTTTTTTTTTTTTTTTTGAGACAGAGTCTTGCTCTATTGCCCTGGCTAGAGGGCAGTGGTGTCATCATGGTTCACTGCAACCTCACACTCCAGGGCTAAAGTGATCTTCCTGCCTTAGCCTCCTAAGTAGCTGGGACTATAAGCGTGCACCACCATGCCTGGCTAATTTTTCTTTTTTTTTTGTACAGTCAGGATCTCGCTCTTGCTCAGGCTGGTCTTGAACTCCTGACCTCAAGTGATCTTCCTGCGTCAGCCTCCCAAAGTGCTAGGAGTACAGGTGTGAGCTACTATGCCTGGCCTACATTTTATTCTTAAGAAAGAAACTTAATCCATTAATTTAATCCATTTCAATTTAAACAGCTTTAATGGTCAGAATGTAGTTCAAGTTTTCCCTCTGTAAGGGCAATGTAATCACTAAGATATTGCTGCTTTAGTTATTTGGCATGTCTTGGTCCCTTTCAAGTTTATTAATATGTATGGATGATTGTAGATTGTTGATTTGTCACACTTTTGAATTAAATATTCTCAAAGCTATTAATACTACCTCTAAACATATTGGTTTGGGGGAGGTGTTATCCCAGTTTTGCACACAGGTCTGATGCCAAGGAGTGGTGTTGAAGAAAGTGAATAATTGATTAAATAGAATCTCCATTTGTGAAGAGAGAGTGCTCCCATTTTACATTAATAGCTTTCCTCTACTTTGTCAGCCTTAGCCTTTGTCTAGTCAGGCTTCTTTAAACTTACCCCTATAAAGGTACAAAGAAGTCTCATAAAATGTATGATTTAAAGCTTTTGTAGCAGAAGTTTGATTTCTAATACTTGTATTTGAATATGGTTATATCTAACTGGGGAATCCAAACCAAATATTTAACGGTAAGATCAATATGTGAAGATTCATTTCAGTGATTACTTGAAAAGCTACCATGGTCTGTCTCCTGCCCCCCTTCCCTCCATCCCTCAAACAGTAGTATAAAGTGAGTTGTGCTGCTCTCTCTTTGTGAAAGTGGGGTGGGACATCAAATTAAGTAAGTATTTCCTAATGTTAGATTCAGGATTGTAAGAAGAGAGAGGAGGCAATTGTTCAAATATGAAACATAAGAGTGTTGCAGTGGTACATACAAAGTATGTCAATAGATGGTAAAAAAAAAAAAAAAGCCACATTAGGCTAAAAGAAAGATCAACATTCCATTGAGAAGATGTTCTCTTTCTGGACTGAAGATAAAGAAAATATATCCAATAGGCCTAATGTTAAAAATATCTTCTTCTCTAAGAGTGACACATAACCATGATCAAGAGTTCATATGCTTACTTCCCATTTATTTGCTGCTTAGTCTCACAACAATATGAGTAGATATATGCATGGGATAAAATAATACTGGGCCATTACAAATTGAGATGAAATAACCATTTTCATCTCTTTTGCTTGGACCAGACGTTCCTTTTGGTATAATATGTCTAAATGTCCTGTGTAAACAGGATTTAATCAAGTGTGCTTGCAATGAATTACTGTGTATACTTATTTTATAAAAACACTGCTTTAAGAATTTCACTTTTTGTTTTTAATAGAATAAAAAAAAGAGGTTAGGTGCTTAGTTTCATATAAAGAGGTCACATTTCTACTTAAATGCCCCTTATTGCATACCAGGTACCAGGGAATAAAAAAAAAACAACAACCCATAATGATCAGCTAGCATTAGAATCCATGGTGTAGGTATGATTAAGAAGAGCAAACCTACTGCCTTCAAACCTTAGACCTAACTGGTTTAATTTTAATTGCTAAAGACCTTGTCCATTAAAAGTTCTGTTTATTTTGATCATAAAATAGGATCACTCTGTTAACTAAATTTAACACAAAATAAATAAGTTTTCTTTTGAGGCAGACTATATACAGGGAAGCAGAATCAATTACCAAAGACTTAGGATTTGAAATCAGCATTCTGTAAAGTTACTTAATATCTTTGGGCTTTGGTTTTCTCCCTATAAAATGGAGAGGAGGATGATTAATGTACATCACAGGTTACTTGTGAGAATTAACCTGTCTGCCCTAACACTGCATCTCTCACATATATTCTGTACATAATCTACTATCATTTAATATCAGATGCCTTATACTTCCCCAAATTGGAAAGGCTTTTATTCTGTCTCAACCCCCTCTTCCAACTCCTTTATCTGGCCAATTCCCAAGCATCCTTTAAGTCTTAGCTCTGACTTCATCTCTTTGACTTTCTCTGACTTCATTACACGTTTAGTCCCTGTATGCCATATTCATAGTACCCTCAGTATACCTCATTACACTCCTTTGCACATTATGACTGTTTACTTTTCAATTCTCTCCATTAAATCACAAACTCTTTAAAAAGAGTATAGACTTGTATGTCTTGTTCAATTTTTGTGTCTTCAGTGTCAAGCATGGTGCCTGGCTTGTAGAAGATATTCCTTAATAGATGAATAGAAGAAAGAGAAGGAGGAATAAATGAGCTAGTATATGTGAAGGCATTTTGTAAACTATAAAGTGCTATGCAAATGGTAGTGTGATTTTGCATTACATTCCTTAAACATGTATTTTTAAATATCTGAATGTTCATTTTTAGAAGGCCTTGATCCTGCAAATATAATTCTTAAATATTGGCAATATTGTTAGAGTTTCAGGGGCAGTATCTTTTATGTTATAGGATTATACTTTCCATGTTATCTCCCAGCAATTTAATTAATTAAGCTTAACTAGACAGGTTTATTAATCTGTAATTACTTTACATCTCATTATTAAAAATTTGTATTTTATATCTGATATCTCAATGTCTACTTCAATCTTTACTGTTTCACTTTTACAGTGAAAATAAAAACCTATCCATCATACTGAAGATAGATTGGACAGTTATTTCTTCTTCTTGGAGTCTGTTCTGAAAATATTAATAAATACCACTAGATTTTATTAGTATATTAGCTGCTTAACATTTAGTATAATATTATGTATGTATTAATACCTCTCTTCTGGTATTTTAATGGCAAGGATATTGGATTTCGACTTGACTCACTACATACCATCCTGCAACAGGAAGTCTTGTTACAAGAGGATGTGGAGCTGATTGAGCTACTTGATCCCAGTATCCTGTCTGCAGGGCAACCTCAACAACAGGAAAATGGACACCTTCCAACACTTTGCTCCCTGGCAACCCCTAATATTTGGTACTGTCCAGAAAATATCTATCCTTTGGCTGCTTACATATAGTATATTAGCAGAGGAAATCAATCATCATGCTGTCCATTGTAAAGGCATAAACATTCTATACATTTAGCATTAGGTAACAATATGCCAGAGGTAAAAGAAAAAAAAAGAAACCTTTCTAAAGTTAATGCTATTTAAAATGAAGCTGGAAAAAAATCCAATTGAATTATTATGTACTCCCAACTCAGTAAAATTACTTCTGTGCTTGCCAACCCAACAAACAGGTATAACATGTGCCAAAAATAATCTCTCTTACCCATATACCTAAGTACATGTAAACCTAGCCAGTTCTTTAATATTAATAGATTTTATCATAACCATATTATAGAGACACCAAGAGTAGGATGGGATATAGGTGTAGATAGCTGATTCTTGCTGTGTTGGCTGAGAAGAGATCATAAGGAACATAATTTGATGAGTCAGACTATCTTAAAACTTTAACCACTTATAGTATTTGGTTCTAATGCAGAAGTCCTAGGTCATAATCTGACAAAAAAAAAAAAAAGAAGAATGAATGAATGAATGAATAGTAAAAAAGGATTATGTATAAATAATTGTTGATGTCTTCTTCCTATTGGGGTTTATTAAATTTGATAGATAAAGGAGGAATGAATCAAGCAGTGTGTTAAATCACTGCTCAAACTGTTCAAGTTATACAGGTAGTTACAGTCATTGGCCTCAAGGTTCTGGATTTATGTCTTTCCTATCACACTGACAAATGCTTCATAGTGTGAAGGTGGCAAAGTACAGTGTTTTCCAAATCTGTAGTCACTCAGGTATTATCACAAGGAAGTAAAGCATCTTATCCTTCAAAAACATAAGAATTTAAGGAGCTGCTAGGAGGAACCATAGGTTTTAAGAATATACTACTTTGCTTTTAAGTTTCCTTTAGCCACAAATATGTTTAAGCAACTATGCTTTTAGAGTTTGCTGTTAAAACATAAAAGTATATGATGAGATTTTACTTCATAATATTACCAGTGTCATCTAAAAAGTAAGGATTCTAAGGGAAATTAGGGCAAATATTTATTAAGAAATATTCTTACATGGGCCTTTCTTTGTAGTAGGACTGTAACTCTCTTCAGATATTATTGATGTTTTTCTACTATCTTCAGATACATCCCACCTCTACTCCCCTTTTTTTTATATATATACACATTTTCCTCAAAGCCTTCATGGCTTAAGAGTTATATTTTAGTCTATTAGATTTGTAATTGACCTGAATAAAAATATTTTGTACATATTTTTACTTTGATTAAAGCAATGTGAAAGTACAAAGCTTGTCCATATCATGGTCTATGGTAAGTATGTATATTCCAAATTAGTGATGATTATTATTTCAAATTAGAGGACTTTATTCAAAACAATTGCTCATCAAGTATATATTATTTCTAATTAGAAAAACAAAGTCTAATTTTAGGAAAAAGGAATTCACAATATTTCTGAAATTATATTTTTACTTTTAAATCTGTACAATTGGATTTTAAAATCTATAATTTTTGCATATTAGGTTAAGGATTCCATGTCTTTTATATTCAGAAAAAAACAGTCATTTCAGAAGATAACGTTTTTTTGTATTTATTATCATCATTTTTATTATACATGTGTCATAAAAGAGAAAGGTACCGATTGCTTTGGGGTCACAAAGGAGAGGTTGACTAGAATTAGAGGCAGCCATTTTAAGCTTTTGGTAAAATCTTCACAGAGGAGAGTTTGAAGGAGTAGGATTTTGTTACTAAATATGGGATTAACACCAGACAAAAAGGAAAAGAGAAGGAGAGATGTCCTGGTTATAGTGCATGGAAGGTGGGATTCAGAATTGACTCAAGACATGGTTTGATCCAGCTTTTTTTTTTTTCTTTAAGTGACATGATCTTGCCCTGTTACCCAGGCTGAAATGCAATGGCGTGATCATAGCCCACTGCAGCCTCAAACTCGTGGGCTTAGATGATCCTCCTGCCTCAGCCTCCCTAGTAGATGGGACTATAGACACTCACCACCATGGTTGGCTAATTTTAAAAAAAGAAAAATTTGTGGAGATGGGATCTTGCTATGTTGCCCGGGCTGGTCTTGAACTTCTGGCCTCAAGCAGTCCTCCCACCTCAGCCTTCCAAAATGCTGGGATTATAGGCGTGAGCCATGGTGCCTGGCAGGACCAGCTTTTTAGAGGTCTTGTAGACTGAGCTGATGAACTTTGATTTTATCCTGTAGGCAACAGATGATATTTCCAGTTGCAGACTATATATATTTAGTAAGTGTAGATGCCTTTTGTTGGTGCTGCTCAGCATCAGTCACCACCTACAGAGAAGTTCTTTAAATTTCTTTTGTGAAATCACCTTTACCTGGTTCCAGAAAACAGCTGTTTCTAATGTCCTTTACCTAAACTTATCTGCTTAGATTTTAATGCCAAGCACCATTGTCTAGTTGGTATATATTTTTAAACTATTTCACATTACCTTCTTAAATGTCATAATTTTTAAAGCTATGCTTTGCAAAGAAGCTAGGATTTTATCTATTTCAGTAAACTTAAATTTATATTTGTTTTTACTGATTAAAGTAACTCATCTTTCATTATCTAATCTGATGGATATCATTTTCTTGGTTTCTCTGTTCCTAGGGATGTCTCAATGCTATTTGCCTTCATTAGTTTGCTCATTATGTTTCCTACTTGGTGGATTGTATCTTCCTGGCTGGTGTGGGGAGTGATTATATTTGTTTATCTGGTCATAAGAGCTTTGCGATTTTGGAGGACAGCCAAACTACAAGTGACCCTAAAAAAATATAATATTCGTTTGGAAGATATGGCAGCAAATAGCCGAGCTTTTACTAACCTTGTGAGGAAAGCATTACGTCTCATTCAAGAAACTGAAGTAATTTCCAGAGGATTTACACTGTGAGTTCATTTTATTATTTTAATTTTTAAATGAGTCTGTCTACTACATAGCTAAAGGAGAATATTTATTATCACTTTCATTTCCTTGTTGCATTTATAGGAAAAAAGTGGGTTTCTTTTTTTAGCACTTAATAAAGTCTATTAACTGCTAAGTGAAGGATTAAATATATTATGTGCTAGATTTAATATGTAGTATGATTCTGCTTATCTACTTTGAGAAACCAAAGTACTTTAAGAATCTTGATTATTTCTTATATATTATCATGTGATTATATGAGAAAACATATAGAGGATGCCTAACCCTGAACCTAGCATGCAATAGTTACCCAGTAAATGCTTGCTCCCTTTACTCCCTATTAAATGCCCTCTTCTCCACTTTAAATGATAGATGTATTTGATATAAATTTATTTTGAAAAATCTTGACATGTATTAATAATACTCTTTAGGTAAATATTAGCAGATGTTATAGCACTATGATACTCTCAGAATGTCATGCAAATTGTGATGTTTCACATTGCCTTGGGAAATTAAATATTCACCAGTCTAGCTGTAAGTATATTTAAGCTACAGGATATACTGGCTACTTAGTCTATTATTAAAGCTACATTTATTGAGCATCAACTATGTTCCATATGCTATGCTAGTCACTTTTTCATACACTTAAAGGCATACAATTGTAAGTGGTAGAGCATTTCTATTCAAATCCATTCCATCTGACTCTAAAGTCTATTTCCAATATACTAGGCTAACTGCTAAGCACTAACAGATGACAGTTGTATTCTGGTATATTTAATAATGTAAATAACTTATATACCTTTGCAATCTATAAGCAAGAGTAAGTACATGTACTCATTGATCTTAATTAGTTGTATCTGGAAAATCATGCAAAAGAGGAGTGAAGAACCTCTGGTAGTCATCTCATCCTTCACTCTGCTCAGCTCTAGAACACTACTTACACAGTCTTGACTTAAATGCTGTTTCTAGAAAATTATGGAACAGAAAATTAAAATAATTTCCAGGAATCATTTTGTTCTTCACTCTGCTTTGTTCTATACAACAATCCCAGGACATTAAGAGCGATTTTATAACTTCTCTTTCTGCTCAATTCAAAGTATAATGATCTTTAGTATCTGTTGACCTATTTGTCCTTCCATTAGCTGAAGTCTACTTCTTGTTGATAGAGGATAGCACATTTTAAGTTGTTTGAGTATCAAATTTTAAAAGTTAAAAAATCACAAATTAATAGCTCCTTTTCATTTTATTGAGAGGATCGATTGGTTAAGCAAAGTGGCTATGTGTCTATGTAAAGTTTTGGCAAGTATATAGGATTTTGTGCCTTTTGTGATTTTTCTAACAATTCCCCATATGTATGGGATGGGCATGAAGAGGTAAAGTGGGCCAGTTAGACATGATTCACCTGCAGATTATACTTTCTACCCATTCAGATGGCAGACAAACAGAAGAAATATTAGAAGAAACTGCTTCATTTGTCTTTATCTAACTGGATAATGGTTTGAAAAAATTATGAGGAATAATCTTGAGTCATAATTTTTTAGAAATAGTTTCAGTTTTTAAAGCTGATTTACTAAAATGGAACACAAGCAATAGCGCCATATATTAAAATCATAAATGCTGTTTGTTTCTGCCTCAATTTGTCTTCTTTTAGCAAATAATTTAACCCCCTTTTTGCATTAATTCCCTTGCTTTAAATTAAGCCTGTCATCATCCTCTGCTTTTTATAGGGTTTTTTTGTTTGTGTGTTTTGTGTTTTTTGTTTTTTTCTAAGAGACAGGGTCTCGCTCTGTCACCGAGGCTGAAGTGAGAGGTTCCGATCATAGCTCACCATAACCTTGAACTCTTAGGTTCAAGAGATCCTCCTCCCTCAGCCTCCCAAGTAGCTAGGAATACAGGTGCATGCCACCATGCCTGGCTAATTTTTTTTAAGAGATGGAGTCTCACTATGTTGCCCAGACTGGTCTTGAACTACTGGTCTCTCCCACCTTGGCCTTCTAACATATTGGGATTACAAGTGTGAGCCACCATGCCTGGACTTTTAGTAGATTTTTTTTTTTCCTTTTTGAGACAGAGTCTCACTCTGTTGCCCAGGCAAGAGTACAGTGATGTCATCATAGCTTACTATAACTTCCAGCTCTTGGGTTCAAGCAATCCTTCTCCTCCAACCTCCTGAGTAGCTGGGACTAAGGCACATGCCACCATGCCTGGCTAATTTTTATTTTTTCTAGAGAGAGAGCTCATTGTTGCCCAGGCTGGTCTTGAACTCCTGGCCTCAAGTGATCTTCCTGCCTCACTCTCCCAAAGTGCTAGGATTATAGATGTGAGACTCTGCACTTGGCCTTTTTGTAAATTTTTAATGCCTGGATATATTTTTGTACGGCTTAACATTTTTAAAGTTTTGAGTTAGGTGTCTTGTTTTATAAGTTTGTGGTTATAGTTCAAGAAATTTACAAATGCCAATGTTTTGTTTTACTATTGGGAAAGGTTATTGGTTAGGTAAAAAAACTATTATCTAAATGGAGGAGAACGTACGGTTTTGTGTGTTTATTCTCTCCATATTATAAAAGTATACATGGTACGCATTTGTTTTAGAAAATACGGAGGAAATAGAATACTGTAGAGGAAAATAAAAGCATCTTGTAATCCAAAAAAAAAAAAAAACTATTATCTGATAACTATGTAATATTTAATCATGTGTATTTTCAGTTATAAAATGTAGTACATTATATGTCATTGTTACAAATAGGGTACTCCCCATTAATCTTATGGAAAATGCCATAAAATGTGCTTCCTCTTGAACAGTTTTGAGAGTAGCTATACTACTACATAGTAACCCTTACTTTGCCTTTCTACTTGCATTCCCCTGCTGGCCACTGGTCCTGTTATCTTTCTGCGTCCCCTACTTCATTTTGAGTAGGTAAGTGCCAGTGGCAGCAGGTGGGTAAGTAATTTTGCCCTACTTTTGTGAATGTACAGAATGTATTTCTATACAGTATTTTTTCTGTACAAGTGAACAAATAAATGATTAGTGAACATATGCAAATGTATATTAAGAATGTGAAAGTGTTTATAATTAGGGCCTTCATATTTTTTATAGATACGGATTTTGAAAACTGAATGTAAAGTATTTCTGCGTTAATATATTTTAGCAGATAAAGTGTCTATGTAAAAAGATGCAAATTCTCACATAAATATTCCTACATTTCTGTTATATCTCAACTAAAATTCATTATTTCCCCACATCAGAGGAAGCCTTTACTCTTTGAGATTTTAATTTTTTATTTGTCTTTTTTCTGGTGGCTATATATGTATCAGAGAAATTACTGTATTATGAGACCTGAGTTGGCATATTTATAATCATTTTCTAATGAAAATCATGAGAAAGGAATATGTTTTCTAAGTTTAATAGAATTGTCAATTTAGGAAACAAAGACTTTAGGACACCTGTACAGTTGTATCACATTTTACTTTTCAAGTTTGCTTGACAGGGTCAGTGCTGCTTGCCCATTTAATAAAGCTGGACAGCATCCCAGTCAGCATCTCATCGGTCTTCGGAAAGCTGTCTACAGAACTGTAAGAGCCAACTTTCAAGCAGCAAGGCTAGCTACCCTATATATGCTGAAAAAATATCCTTTTCTGTCTATACGTGAGAACAAGCAATGTTTCCAGAGTCCTGAATGTAGATATTATAGTTGCATCCTGTAAATGTTAACTATAAATTGGGATTGCCTTTTTTGAAGCTAGTTTCTATCATCACTTTTCTTTTAAAACTGGAAATACATTCTAGGGGGAATGATAATAACAGACAGGAAGAAAGTTCTGTTCTTGTATAGCTCATTTTTAACAAGGAAAAACTTGATTTCCCTCTCTTTACTGGTCCAAAGAATAAAGTAGAAAAGCCTGGCTTTGCTAGGTCTGACTTATTTTTCTTTTTGAGACAGGGTCTTGCTCTGTCACCCAGGCTAGAGTATAGTGGTGTGATCATAGCTCACTGTAACCTTGAATTCCTGGGCATAAGTGATCCTTTTACCTTGGCCTCCCAAAGTACTGGGATTTCAGGCATGAGCTACCATGCCCAGCCAAGTCTGACATTTAAAAAAATTTCTGAACATGGCAAATTTGCATCATGTCATAATAATAAACTGGCAACAGGAAGCCTTCACTTTTCAAAAAACAAACAGGCTCTAGGGACAGATTCGCTAAGTTCAAATTTTGGCTATTATCAGTTACCGCTTAGTGACCTTAAAAGCAAGGTCCTTAACCTCTCTGAAATTTGCTTTACTCATCTTTAAAATGGGAATAATAACATAATCTTCCTTATTGTGTTTTTGTTAAAATTAAATGAAATAATGCATATAATGTGATATCTAATATATAGTAAGCACTCAAGGACTGATAGCAATAGTCTGTTACTTAAATTTACTAAATCAGGAAATTAGTTCTATTAGCCAGAAAATAAAGATGTGTAAGATCTCTGTTTTAGTGAAGACTCATAGGTAAGTTAAATTATGAGTAAATGAAGATCAGAAAGACTACTTTGTACCTTCAGTATATTGGGTACTATAGCACTGATAAATATAATACTTAGGCTGTGTGTGGTGGCTCACGCCTGTAATCCTAGCACTCTGGGAGGCCAAGGCAGGAGGATTGCTCAAGGTCAGGAGTTTGAAACCAGCCTGAGCGAGACCCCGTCTCTACTAAAAATAGAAAGAAATTAATTGACCAACTAAAAATATATATAAAAAAATTAGCTGGGCATGGTGGCACATGCCTGTAGTCCTAGCTACTCGGGAGGCTGAGGCAGGAGGATCACTTGAGCTCAGGAGATTGAGGTTGCTGTGAGCTTGGCTGATGCCACGGCACTCACTCTAGCCTGGGCAACAAAGTGAGACTCTGCCTCAAAAAACAAAAACAAACAAAAAAAGTATAATACTCAAATTTTATAGAATGCTTTATGTTCTATCATTATATATACCTTCATTGCTAGATTCTCTTGTCTCCACTTTGTAAGAAAAGTAAAATAAAGGTTAAGTGACTTGCTTATTGTCACACAACTAGTAACAGATTGTGTCTTGACTATAGGACTTAGGACTTAAAGCCTTTTTTTATATATATATACTTACTATATTAAACTATTTCTTTGGAAATAGAGACAAAGCCCTTTAATTTTCATTAAGAATTTATCCATTTTGTTCCCCCATCACCTACATGCCTGCCTACTATGGGTCAGCCATTCTTCTAGGTGCTTAGGAAGACAGAGTAAAAACATGTACTACCCACTTGTAAAGATTTTTGAGTATGAATGATAGGCCAGCAATCATAATACAGTATGAATATCCAGGGTGCCTTCCAACATAGCAGGGCAATGTACTTGGCTTATGGGGTCAGAGAAAGTTTTTAGGGAGGTGACATCTGAGTTGAGTCTCAAATAACAAGTAGGAATTGGCCACGAGGATGATAAAAGTCTGTATTCCAGGTGGAAGGAAGCAAGAACACATGGAAAGAAAGAGATATGACAGTGCAGCTTGTAAACTGCAAGTAGTTAGTCATTCAGTGAATAATTATGTAGCATAAACTTAGTGCCAGGCAATATGCTAATCACTAGATATATAGTGCTAAGCATAATAGACATGAGCCCTGCCTCATGGAGCTTATAGTTTAGTGTGGAGTAGGGAGTGAGAGGGAGGTAGCCTAATAAAGATTGCAGATTGTGTGAGTTCCCTGTGTTTGTCACTTTTCTAGAAATGAGAACGTAACAGTGAACAAGATAGACAAGATCCTTATTCCCATGGACTTACCTTCTAGAGGATGAGATGATCAATAAAAAATAAACAGATGAGATTTTCATGTAAAATAATTGCTATAAAGAAAAAAAGCCCAAAGCTTTTAATTAAATAGTATAAGAAAGCCTCTCTGAAGAGCGGTCATTTAAACTGAGATTTGAATGATGAGAAAGATTGTGGGGAAGAGTGTTCACTTAGATAGACCAAAAAGTATAAAAATCTTGTGGCAGTAGTGAATTTAGCATGATTGGAGTATACAAAGAAGATCATCATTACTGGAGTACAGTAAGTTTGGGATCAAAGTATGAAATGAGATACAGATCATATGCTCCCTACATGAAAACTTAAGGAATTAAAGGAAAAAAAAGAATCCACCAACCATTTGAAAACACCAATGTAAACCTTCATATGCCTGATCAAAGCAAAGAGCAAAAATATATATTAGTAAGAGAATGCAGTGGTGACCATGGATGTGAATGATTAAAGTGATTTATAAAGGACTAGTAAATGCAACTCTCTGGCAGCAACTTTGAAAATGTAGGAGAAAATGGTTCATTTCTTATCAAGATAAAAATCTGCAAAATTGACCTAGTACTAATTTAAAAACTTGAAGAGATTTAAAAATATTCCATTTAAAAAAGAAAATACCTGGTTATATATAAAAAATGAAAAATATGCAATATTAAAAAAACAATGATAGAGTTCCTGATGCCCTGGTATGGAATGATCTCCAAGTTATATTAAGTGAAAAAAATACAAAGTACAATCAGTAATAATACCTTTCCATTTGTATATAAAAGGGACTTTATTTATGCAGGGATGAATACATGTGTATTTGTTTGCACGCATATGTATATATGTACCTACATATCTCCAGATACACACATTTATATTTGGATTTCCTTTTATGTATAAATGCGTTAAATATCTTGAGGGATGCACAAGGTAATAGTAACAAGGATTGCCTTTGCCTTTGGATAAATGAACCTCATGAATTTTGAATCCTGTGAATGTATTACCTATTCAAAAACTAAGTGAATAAAAATTTTTAACTATCAGGTCCAGATAGTTTTAAAAAAATTTTCACACCACAGAAAAGGTTAGAAAGCTTCTCTACATCATTTTATCCATGAAAATACTATAATCTCACTATCAAAACACATATTACAAAGAATAAGATGTATAGATCAGTCTTAACAAATGGAGGTACAAACTATTTAAATAAAATATTTAGATATACAGGGAATACTAAGTAAAAGAAAAAATAAATAAATAAATAAATAAAATATTTATAAATTTAATCTAGCACATGTCAAAAAATTATTATAATATAAACAAATAGGAATATGCTAGAAATATAGAGATGGTCCAATATAAAGAATTGTATGGGCCAGGCACGGTGGCTCATGCCTGTAATCCTAGCATTCTGGGAAGCCAAGGTGGGCAGATCATTTGAGCTCAGAAGTTTGAGACCAGCTTGAGCAAGAGCAAGACCTTGTCTCTACCAAAAATAGAAAAAATTAGCCGGGCATGGTGGCGCATGCCTGTAGTCCTAGCTACTTGGGCGGCTGAGGCAGAAGTATCGTTAGAGCCCAGGAGTTTGGGGTTGCTGTGAGCTAGACTGACACAGCATTCTAGCCGGGGCAACAGAATGAGACTCTGTTTCAAAAAAAAAAAAAAATCTTTACAAAAACAAAGGGAAAAATCATTTGTATTAATATGATTGACGTGTCTAAAAGGAAAAGGATAGAAGAAACATTAACAATAATCTATGCCAAACAACCTATATGGAGCAGGCTTAGTGCTACTTATATCTGTAGTCCATGTATTTTAAATAATGTTCAACTGAGTTGTGGGTGGGGAACCTGCAGCCTCAAGGCTACATGTGGCCCTCCAGATCTGCAAGTGTGACCCCTCAACTGAATCCAAACTTCACAGAACAAATCCCTTTTTTAAAACTATCCCTTGAATTCTTTCTGTATGAAGAGCACTAAGATGTCTAAAACCTGCAGAAGATATGTCAGGTGCATGAACTGGCAGTTCACAAAAGAGGAAATACAAATGGCCAATAAATATGATAAAATTTTCAGTCTTCATACTTAGAGAAATACAAATAAATCCTTTTATTAGGATTTGTTCTGTAAAATTTGGATTCAGTTAAAATGTTACATTCAAGGATCCAGAAGGCCACATGAGGCCTCAGGTTCCCCACCCCATGACACAATGAAATACAGCTTCAAAAGGTAGGTGTCAAAAATAACTAATTTAGCATGTTAGCATTTTTGCAGTCAAACTTTTCATTATTTTAGACATAAAAAATTGTATTCACAAGTATCCTCTAAGATATCTGAGAATACTTATGTTAATATGTTAGATTTTAAGATAAATTTCTGTTTAAAAACTGCTATAAATCTCCTCATGTAAAAATTCAGAATAAAGATTAGTAACCGTAATTTAGGACAATTTTACCGTCCCTCTTATGCTTTAATGAAAAGGCTTTGTTGATTGCCTTAACCTAATTTAACCTACCCCCTGAACTCTGAGAGTGACAATGTAACCAACTACATCTGTGTGGTGCCTTTTAAGGAGCTGGGCCTTGGACTTAGTGAAGAGCAGATTTCAGAAGAGGAAGCACATAACTTTACTGATGGCTTCAGCCTGCCTGCATTAAAGGTAATATCTGTAAGGGAAGGGCTCAAGAGAAAATATATGCACTTGGATTGTTTCTGTGCTTTCTGAATATAAACAGTGCACCTGTTCCCCTTCATTTGTTTGCTGAATACCATCATCATAAATGCTTTAGTGATGTTTGCGATTCTGTCTTTATAAGCCAAGGGCATCAGAAAGATTGGATGAGGAGATTCTTATATTTTGATGTCAAAATAATTAAAATTCTTAATATAAGAAATGCCTTAAAATAGAGTTTGGAGATAGGTGAATTTACTTTTTAATTGGAAGCCATTATGAGTAATTTTATGACTAGCCATTTGTTTCAACAAACATGAAGAAAGCACACTATCTCCAAAATTCTTGTTTAGGACAAGAATTTTTTTCATTTTTTAAAAACTACATAAAAGGATACATTTGGCTACATAAAAATTAAACTTCTAACTTCAAATACTGCATACTTTTAAAGGCAAATAAGCTCAAGAAAAATTGCAATGATTTATAACAAAGGGCTTGAATTCTTTCTATATGAAGAGCACTAAGGTGTCTAAAACCTGCAGAAGGTAGGTCAAGTGCATGAACTGGCAGTTTACAAAAGAAGAAATACAAATGACCAATAAATATGATAAAATTTTTAATCTTAGTACTTAAGGAAATATAAATAAAAGTAATAAGTTAAACATTTTGCCAAGATATTGAAAGTTGGTAATATTCATTATCAGTGAAGATTTAGGGAAACCTGACACACTAGTGGTGAAAGTATAAACTGGTTCATTTTAGCAGTGAATACCAATCTTCATAAAGGTGTATGCCTGTTAATCCAGCAATTTTACCTTTACAGATTTATCCCAAGAAGTAATCAAAGATAAACCCAAAGTATATTCATGAGATTACTACAGCAGCAAACATTGGAAACAAATTAAAAGTTCAATAATATGGAATTGGTAATGATTTATGGTACCTATACTTGATGAACTGCTTTGGAGTTAAAAGTGGAAAAATATTGAAAGCAAATAATATGGGAAAACATAAGTTAAAGCAAGTTAACAAAAACCATTTTTGCAGCAAAATTCAAGTAGTATTTTTAAGATGTTAATCCAAATATATTAAATTCCTTTTCAATATTCAACAAGCTCTACTTAGATATTTCTTTGTTTCTAGTCTTTAAAACTTCCCATGACACCATGAAAATCAGTGCAAGTGTAGTTGACAGCATTTATCAAGATCTATTTTGTTTTGAGACTGTATAAACTTCAACATCTTTAAAATTTTCTAATCCACATAAATGTTTTAATTTCCCTGTTGTTGTTTTTCTTTCTTTCCTGTTACTTAAAATTTGCCTTGATTTATTCCTACCCTCATTCTAACCCATCTCAATCGGTGGCACTCAACAACAATTTAAACTAGAAACCTGGGCACCATCCTTCTTATCCCTCTTTTTTACCCTCTCATATCCAGTTTGTCAGCAGATTCTTATGTCAGTTCTACCTTAAAAATGAATTTTGAACCCATCCACTTTTTTCTATATCCCCTCCCACCAGGCTAGTTCTAGCCACCATTATCTCATACCTAAGCTGCTACAATAGTTTTCGTAGTTTCCTCACTTCCCTAAAGTTATTTGTTTAAGGATAAAATTTGATCAAATCACAACTTGGTAGGAGAAAAAAATGCAATTTGACATATAGCCATTTAAATGATGTATCCTTTGAATTAGTAATTCCACTTCTACAAACCTTTCTGAAGGAAATTATTCTAAACATAATTAAGCTTTATGTGCCAAGTTGCCTATTAGTTTTGTGCTTATAATAGCGAAATACGGAACACTGCCTAAATGTTCAGCAATAAATGAATGGCTACTCCTACCATATGACTCAAACCTTCTGCTCCCTAGAACTCTCTTCCCTGATGATACTTTTATGGCTAACTTTCTTCAGGTGATACTCTTTTAGGGACACTCCTGACCACCCCATTCACCTCTCCCCCCTCTCCCATCCCTTCTCTCTCTCTCTCTCTCCCTCCTTCATATGTATATACACACACATATCCACACACATTTGCTATTCTCCTTCTTTGCTGTATTTTTCTCCATAACCCCATCAACCAAGAAACACTATCTTTTTTCCCCTGGCTAGTCGCTACCACAGAAGGGAAACACTGTCTTTTACTTGTAGATTATTATCTATCCCTCCCTGTCCCCCACCTACGCCCCTTGGATATAAGCTCCATCAGAGTCGTGATTTTTTTCATTTTTGTCCACTGCCTGACACATCATAGATGTTCAAGAAATTATTTCTGAGTGAATGAATAAAGGAATAAAGAAAGTCATTGTAATCACAAAATTTAATAGTTAAATAAGAAGACTTGCAAGTAAGCTTGTTTATATTCAAGAATTCATAGATATTGTATCTTTAACAATTTGGAAATCTGGCCTTGTTCACTTTTTAAAAATTAGCTAATGGTAAAGTAGATTTACATGAAATTATCTTAAATCTTTATTCACATAATTTAAAAATTCATTTAATAAAACCATCTAGGCTAGGCACGGTGGCTCACACCTATAATCCTAGCACTCTGGGAGGCCAAGGTGGGAGGATTACTTGAGCTCAGGAGTTCAGGACCAGCCTGAACAAGAGTGAGACCCATCTCTATGAAAAATATAAAAAGTAGCCAGGCATCTTGGTGCACACCTATAGTCCTAGCTACTCTGAAGGCTGAGGCAGGAGAATTGAGCCCATAAATTTGAAGTTACATTGAGCTATGATGATGCCACTGCACTCTAGCCTGGGCGACAGAGGAAGACTCTGTCTAAAAAAAAACACACTAAATATCCATTTTCATGGTTATGAATAATTGGAATCTAAATTATCGAAAGTAGTTCTATCCTCTTTTCATTGTCTGCTACCTCTACATTGTCTGCTACAACTACATTGTTTCCGCATGTGTTTATTTTGGGGATATTGTCCTCATCTTGAATAATACTATATCTGAAGTAATCCTTTGCTGCCTGGATGTAAAGTGTCTCTCAAGAATGGGTTTTGCAGTTTCTCATGCTAGACATTCCTGGAGTATGATCGTTCTTGGACTGATTTTTGTGTTAATTTCTTAGCTAATTGCTAGGTCAGGATAATGGTCTAACTTTGAACCCCAAATTCTGGATCCATCAGTGACTCATTTCTTTGGATTTATATATATCCATGGGTCCTACTGTCTTCTTTTCTGCTATGTGAACATTTTAAAAAATAATTCATGAATGAAGATTCATTTCTAATAAATGTATCTCATTCCCTCATCACTTCCTATCTAGAGTAGAACTGTACTAAATTATATCTTGTTGTTACCTGTTATATTGGGATCAGAAGTTCCCTCATGCCATCACTACATAATTTGATATAACATTCTTGGCTAATCTTAGAGTTAGTTCAAGCTCAGCTATTATCATTATTTAGGATAAAGTGAAAAATTTGAGCCAGAAGTAAAGATAAACAAATTTGTAGTTTGTTTGCATGTTGACCAATATTTTTTTATTGATCTAGTCCTTTTTTCTTTTTTTTTAGGTTTTATTCCAACTGTGGGTGGCACAGAGTTCAGAGTTCTTCAGACGGTTAGCCCTATTACTTTCTACAGCCAATTCACCTCCAGGGCCCTTACTTACTCCAGCACTTTTGCCTCATTGTATCTTATCTGATGTGACTCAAGGTCTACCTCATGCTCATTCTGCCTGTTTGGAAGAACTTAAGCGCAGCTATGAGTTCTATCGGTACTTTGAAACTCAGCATCAGTCAGTACCCCAGCGTTTATCTAAAACTCAACAGAAGTCAAGAGAACTGAGTAACGTTCACACAGCAGTGCGCAGCTTACAGCTCCATCTGAAAGCATTACTGAATGAGTAAGTTTAGAAGCTATGTTAGGAAATTTGCTTGTGATTAGCAAGCTTCATTCTTGTACCATTGTGGTAGTTGGCTTGTGTCCTAGCTTGAAAGAAGAAACAAAATTGACACATATAGCATGAAAGATGATTTATAACTGCAAATGTAGCATAGAAACAATTATTTGTTACGTACTATAAATTGGGGGAGTTATAGTTTTTACTTTTCCTGATTTCAACAGAAAACCTAGAAAGATAGGACAAAAAGCAGGTAGTATATATTGTGTTTGAGAGCCGAAATGGAAATGGTTATGAAGAATGAGCTTCTCTTAACTCTCTTAAGGAAGGGCTTTTAAACTGGAACCTGCAGACTGAGAAAAATACCTGCCAGCATTGGAACATTATAAGAGCATTGTTATATATAGTTGAAGAGTACTATATTGCTATTTTTCTAAACAAATTGTAGCAGGTCTGGAAAGTTCCTTGTAGCACAGGACAAGCTTTATGGTTCTAGATGAATAGTAAAATGTAGGGTCTATAGTTTATATTTGTTGATCTTCTATCTTGCATTATACTGTTGATATTCCACCTTAATTTCTAAATTTTTATGTTCTACTTTGGTATACCTTTATCAACTGAAAATAATAGTTTCATATATCTCCACATGGAAATTTTCAAGTTTAAAAATTAACTCAAGGTATTTAATTGAATACAATCATTTCCAGTGAAATTTTTCTCTGTTAAATATTCATAGTATAGGATTTGATCAAATAGTGGTTGGGTTCATGTATTAGTAATCAGGAAGATCATAGGAATTTAATGAGCTGATAAGATGTACTTGCTTGGCCCTGTATACCAGGCAAGAAATAGAAGGGGGAAGATAGTAATTAATTTTGTAAGATAAGAAAATGGGTCAAAAGGACTTGACATATCAGTAAAATCAAAAAGGCCTATTTCTCTGGAATGTGGTAGGATAAGATATATAAAGATAGGAACTTAAGGTCAGAAAGACATTTTGAGAAGATAAGTTTTTAACCATCAATTCAAAGCCTGAGATAGGTAGATAGAAGGCTGATATAAAGGAAAAATGAAGAAACTGTGAAGTGAAGGTGTTCCAGTGGTCTATAGCTACTGTTCTAAGAAAACAGGTAAATGCTAACCAGACTCTTAGTCCTGTCTCCTATAGGGAACTTGGAAGATAAGGCCATCTCCTCTTGAGTGAGTGGCAAAGGTTGGATCATCATCAGAGCAAAATAAGATTTTACTGGAAAGGTTGTAGGCAAAGCCAGAGTCCTTGAGGAATTAATTTTTGGCAATAGAATCAGAAATATATGGGGCATATTGGAATGGATTAGAGTGAGGGAAGATAGCTCAGGGAAGGAAGAGTGCTACACTGGGTGGACATGAACACGAAAAAGAGAAGCTTTATACCTTGGGCAGGGATTGTGGATTATGCACAGGAAGTATGTATGCTCTTCTAAAATGGAATATTCTATATATGCTACTGTCACCTTTCTAAGTATTTTAACTAGAAAGTACGTCAGTCACACACTATCATATCTGATTTGCTGTGTATTACTTCAACACTCAACTTTTGAAATGGTTGTCTAAAACATTGTTTTATGTTTCCTATTTCAAAATGCTCTTTTTGTATTTCACTCCTCTCTTGCCCTTATCCCCTTTGCTATTCCTACTCTCAGTGCCTCTTAGTGCAGGACCATATCATCTCTTGCTTACACGAGGGCATTAACCTCTAACTGTTCTCCCCGCCTCCAGAGTGTGTGCTGCCAGTTTAATGTTACTGAGGCACATATTTGCTTTTTTGCTTAACTGAAAATCTGCACTGGTTTCAGATTATAGCAGCTTAGACTTAAGTCTGTACAAAACATTCTATAGATTCTATAGGATTTGTCATAACCCGACTACAGTCTGCATTTCTATCTTTATTTCTCACTCTTTTTCTTCAATCCAAACTGTATAAATGTCTTTTCCCATGTTCCGTCTAAAACGACCTTCTCACCTTTTGTCCAGGCTCAAATTTTATCCGTCCTTCAAAGCTACGTCTTCCCTAAGTACCTTTTCCTTGACTGTTGCCTGTTTGCACTTACAGCTGATAGTAATTTCACCCTCTTCTGAATTCTCATAACAGTATCTGTAGCTCTCTGTGGTATTATGAGAGCTTTTATGCTTGTATTCAACCCAGCTTTACAGCTTACCAGCTTTGTGCCTCTTGACAAGTTTCTTCAACTCTCTGGACCTAATTCCTTACCTCTAAAATGGAAATAAAATGTTAGTTTTAACTTTTTATGATATTGTATTTTATATACATGTATGTATAATGTCCCTGATTCAGTTATAAATTGCTTATAAATAGGAAATGGGTTTTTATTTCACAAAATGCCTAGTATATATATAAAAAATATTTGTTAAATAAATACATGTTACTCTTTATGAGCTTTTAAAAAGTTGTGGTAAAATATATATAACAAAATTTATTATTTAACCATTTGTAAGTGTACAGTTCAGTGGCATTAAGTATGTACACACTATTGTGCAACCATCACCACCACTCATCTCCAGAACTTTTATCCTATAAGCTTATTTTGTAAGCCTTATTAATTATAATTTTTTTTAATTTTAGAGACCTGTTTCTGCTTTTCTTTATTATTCAGGGTGATAATTCTTGAAGATGAACTTGAAAAGCTTGTTTGTACTAAAGAAACACAAGAATTAGTGTCAGAGGCTTATCAAATCTTAGAACAGAAATTAAAGTTGATTCAGCCCCATGTTCAAGCAAGCAACAATTGCTGGGAAGAGGCCATTTCTCAGGTGGACAAACTACTACGAAGAAATACAGATAAAAAAGGTACCTGTTAGAGAGTTCTTTGGCATATGCTTATCAGACATGCTTATTCCACTCTGGTAGGATTTTATTAGATGAATTTCTTGTCTGCATGATGAAACTGGCATCACAGAATTTTTTAGTTTCCTTCAAGAAGTTGAATTTATTTGTACAAAGTGACACTGAAAGTCTTGGCTCTTATTTTGTTTTTGTTTTTTTGAGACAGTGTCTCACTTTGTTGCCCAGGCTAGAGTGAGTGCCATGGCGTCAGCCTAGCTCACAGCAACCTCAAACTCCTGGGCCCAAGTGATCCTCCTGCCTCAGCCTCCTGAGTAGCTGGGACTACAGGCATGCGTGGGCCACCATGCCTGGCTAATTTTTTCTATATATATTTTTAGTTGGCCAATTAACTTCTTTCTATTTATAGTAGAGACGGGGTCTCTCGCTCTTTCTCAGGCTGGTTTTGAACTCCTAACCTTGAGCAATCCGCCTGCCTTGGCCTCCCATTGGCTCTTATTTTGTAACTAAGATAATGAATATAATTTGACAGTGAATCATCCCTCCTTTTAAAAAAATGGAAATGAGGGGATAAATTTTGATAGTATTTTTCTATTATTAGAACTTCTAGAAACTCTTTTTCAGTTGGGATAATAGAAGAATGAATTTCATAGTCAGGGGCCAGAAACTGAGTCTTTCTTTTAAGATAAAGTACTTACTTCACATTTACAAATGATATACAAATGATATAATTAGTGGCACTTCATATTCATTATTAAGAATCTAAGTGTAAAGGTGTCATTATTATTTTTTTTAAGAATCCTAGTTTTTTTTTGTTTTTTGAGACAGAGTCTTGCTTTGTTGCCCAGGCTAGACTGAGTGCTGTGGCGTCAGCCTAGCTGACAGCAACCTCAAACTCCTGGGCTCAAGCAATCCTGCTGCCTCATCCTCCTGAGTAGCTGGGACTACAGGCATGCGCCACCATGCCCGGCTAATTTTTTCTATATATTTTAATTGGCCAATTAATTTCTTTCTATTTTTAGTAGAGACAGAGTCTTCTCGCTCTTGCTCAGGCTGGTTTCGAACTCCTGACCTCAAGCAATCCGCCCACCTCAGCCTCCCAGAGTGCTAGGATTACAGGTGTGAGCCACCGCCCCGGCCAAGGTGTCATTATTTAATGATAATTTATCAGTTGCTCTGTGCTGCTAAGGTAAAAAGGCAGTCTTGACTGGGCTCGGTGGCTCACACCTGTATTCCAGCACTCTGGGAGGCTGAGGCAGGATGGTTGCTTGAGGTCAGGAGTTCAAGAACAGCCTTAACAAGAGTGAGATCCCTGTCTCTTCTAAAAATAGAAAAAATTAGCTGGGTGTTGTGGTACACACCTGTAGTCCTGGCTACTCTGGAGGCTGAGGCAGGAGGATTGCTTGAGCCCAGGAGTTGGAGGTTTCTGTGGGCTAGGCTGTGTCACAGCATTCTAGCCCAAGCGACAGTGCAAAACTCGGTTTCAAAAAGAAAAAAAAGGCAGTCTTGAGATTTCTTGCCAAACTGCTTTTGATTCAGATTTTATACTTGATTTTACATTTCATTTGAATGTTTGGCATATTAATTTTTTTAAATTGTGCTACAAACCAATACCATGTTCATCTCTTGAATCTTTTTTGAAAAAATATTTTGTAGAGGTAGGGTCTCATTATGTTGCCCAGGCTGGTCTAAAACTTGTGACCTCAAGCGATCCTCTCATCTCCACCTCCCAAAGTGGTGGGATTACAGGCAGGAGCCATCATACCCAGCCAAATCTTTATTATGAGGTTAATCAGACTCATGCATAGAATTTGCATTCTTGCCAAAGATAATTGATGCTTTATCATCCTATTATTGCTTTATTTATAGCTATATTTGTAATGCTTTGCTTAATGTCTTAAACAAGCTGAATAAATCCTTACATAGTATTAACTTTTTTCAAAGGAAACATTAATATGCTAATTACTGATCTATTACCCATAGGTTTTCTTTATATTTTAAATGTAAATAGTGAATAATTTTTCTCCAAAGGATAAATCTGCCAAGAAACTTTAATATATGTAAATGCTTATGCATATTAAACTTTTTGATATGAAGCCAAGAGCCTTTGCATATACTTTCTATGAATAGAAACACTCAGAAGACTTTTGGTTATTAAAAGATGCATCCCATTCAACCCTCCTTTAGCAAACTATGAAATGTTGAATCTTAGTCTGTCACTTAACTGTTGTTAACCATGACTCTGAAAACTCTCCAAATCATTGGGCAGGTAATTAAGATAAGCCATTTCTTAATTATGCTCTGTATATGTGGCTTTTGCTCATAGATAACAATGATATGAATTAAGACACAAATAATCAACAAATTTTTCTCAACAAAACATTCATAGTAACCATAGCTACAACTTTATTTATTTATTTATTTGAGACAGAGCCTCTCTCTGTTACCCTGGCTAGAGTGCCTTGTCAGCCTAGCTCACAGCAACCTCAAACTCTTGGGCTCAGGTGATCCTTCTGCCTCAGCCTCCCGAATAGCTGGGATTACAGGCATGCACCACCATGCCCGGGTAATTTTTTCTATATATTTTTAGTTGGCCAATTGATTTCTTTCTATTTTTAGTAGAGACAGGGTCTCACTCAGGCTGACCTTGAGCAATCCACCCACCTCAGCCTCCCAGAGTGCTAGGATTACAGGCGTAAGCCACCATGCCTGGCCCCTATATAACTTTAAATAAAATGTTTGTTTGAATATTCTAAGAAGCAGGTGCTTTAGTAGGCTGGATCTTTATTTCTAATGTTTTATTTTAAAGTCATTTTAAACTTAAAGGAAAGTTGCAAGAATAGTTAAAAGTACTATTTATCCAGTTTTCTTAGTTGTTGACATTTTACCACATTTGCCTTATATTTCTGTGTATGTGTCTGTGTGTATGTATAATTCTTTTGGTGGTGGTATTGCTCTGAACCATATGACCCAGTTAGCCCATTCAAGTTGGTTTGTATTACCATCATTCTTTGAGCATATCCTTACTTTCTCGTGTTTTCCTTGCCCCAGCCATGTCTCCAAGAAGCCGTCTTTCCTTTTGATACAGGAAAGTATTTCGTAAGGTTGGGAATCATTTGAAATCAAGTGGGTCCTTGGCTTTGCATGAGAATTAGTTCAAGAGCAAGCCAACAGTGTAAAGCAAAAGCAGCTTTTATTCAGAGAGTGTAGGATATCTACTCCACAGACAGAGTAGAGGCTAGTTTTCCCTGCTGAGGAGAACAGCCCCTTTGGTTCTTTTGCTTTCTTTCTTTAAGCACTGGCTTAATCGTAGGCTAAGCAGGGTAGGAATATTCATATTATTTCTTGGAAAGAGACAGTAATTTCCTAGAACTGGGAACCCTCCTCTTTCTTGACATTAAAAGGTCCCTCTCAGGAATGGTGATGGTATGGGTGGGAGTTTCTTTTAGTATGCTAATATGTTACTACTAAGGTACTAATGAACTGCTAGGTCAAGAAGTGGCCAATTCTTTTATCATCTTCATTCCAAGCCAAGCGGTCCTAACTTGTTCTGTCACCACATCATGGGTTTTTGTTTTTTGTTTCTGAGACAGGGTTTTGCTCTGCCACCTGGGCTAGAGTGCAGTGGCACCATCATAGCTTACCGCAAGCTCAAACTCCTGGCCTCAAGTTTTCCTCCCACCTCAGCCTCCCAAGTGGCTAGGACTACAGGTGTGCACCACCACACCTGGCTAACTTTAATTTTTGTAGAGACAGGGTCTTGCTATATTGCTCAGGCTGGTCATGAACTTCTGGGCTCAAGCAATCCTCCTGCCTTGGCCTCTCAAAGTGCTAGGATCATAGGCATGAGCCACTGCACCTGGCCTCACATCATGTTTTTGATCAGAGTGGTTAGGGGCTTTTGACTCTGTGTTAAGCAGTGCCTGTGAGTTCCCCATGTCACTTTTAATGAAGAATGGCATTTAGAAACCAAGATCTGTGCACTAGGCATGCTCATTGCCACTGTGATGTTATTGCTTTTAGGCCCTGTCAGTGTATAGGCAGAGCTATGAAATGTATATGTATATGTATATATATATATATATATATATACTCACACAGATCTATGTCTACCTCTGTATCTGTCCACATATATTATAAACCATGAGTTCATACCAGTACCTCTAATTCCGTTTCAACACCACATGATTTATTCTGCTTTCCCATTTCCCTATTTGTACCTTCCTTCTCTGATTGTGAGAAACTTGGTTCCCATTATCCTCCAAATACTTACTAATTTACTCAATTCCTGTTGATGTAACTAATCACCTGATACTGTGGGCTATCTCCTGTGCCACAGTGCTGCTGACTCAACCTCCTGAGAGTTCTTCCCATCCTGGCCTCAGCTTGCTTTGACCACACCAGCCCAAAAAGCACAAAAGGGTAGTAGGAATATGGTGAGGAGTCTGCTATGAATCCCATCTCTACTAAAAAATAGAACAAATTAGCTGGGTGTCATGGCGCCTGGCCTCATACTGCTTTTTCTAAGTAGAAAGATAATAATGATAGGTAGCGAGCTAGATATGAAACCAACTAACCCTGTGATTAGATACCAAATAGAAATTTTAAGACTTAATCAAAGTTAAGCTCACTTGGATGAGCTTTTTAAAGATATTTCCTTGTGAAACTCATTTCTAAATCAAACTTCTGAGAGTTATAACAACCTATGTATAAGATACAGTGTGATTTTTGTGAGGAAGAGTGGAGTCTGTCTTAAGACTGTGCTATGAATTAAAAACTTTTGTTCAGCAAGTGTTTATGGGGTACATAGTGTGCCAGATACTATGGTGACATGAATAAGGGAAAAAAACAGGTCCTTTCCTCCAAAAAGCTTAATTTAACTTAAATTGTAAATGCATTGATGTTTTGTTTGTTTGTTTGTGGGTTTTTTTTGAGACAGAGTCTCACTTTGTTGCCAGGCTAAAGTGCTGTGGTATCAGCCTAGCTCACAGCAACCTCAAACTCTTGGGCTCAAGCGATCCTCCTGCCTCGACCTCCTGAATAGCTGGGACTACAGCTACATGTGCCACCATGCCCAGCTAATTTTTTTTTCTATATTTTTAGTTGGCCAATTAATTTCTTTCTATTTTTAGTATTTTTAGTTTAGTCTTGCTCTTGCTCAGGCTGGTTTCGAACTCCTGACCTTGAGTGATCCTCCCGCCTTGGCCTCCCAAAGTGCTAGGATTACAGGCATGAGCTGATGTTACTGTTGTTAATTTTAATATCTTTAATTTTTTATAAATAAAAAGTTATTATCTGAATTAGTTGGACTATAAAATTGATAAACTATTAGTATTATGGATGTTTTCAATTAGCTGTTCACTCATTTCTGTGGGGCCTGTTTCTTATCTTTATTCCCCCCTTCCCTCCCACCCCCTTTTTTAAGGCAAGCCTGAAGTAGGGTGTGAAAACCCACATTGTACTGTGGTACCTTTAATGAAACCCGCTCTACACATTGCAGACAAAGATCCAATTCCTGAGGAGCAGGTAAGGATGAAAATTACTCTTTTTGCCCTAAAGAAGAGTTTCACAGACAAAGCATATCTACCATTCTTTCAAGTGACATGGATAATTGTTGAACAACTTGTTGAATTTCTGTTTCTAATGAGCTTTAAAATCACATCATAATGTATTGAATTTTTATCAAATCATTAGTTCTTACTGCCTCAAATTTGAATTCACTGAATCCACCAGGATATTTTTCTGTTATTTACATCTACTTGTCCATTTCTTAGAGGCTTTTTCTTTTTTTTTGGATATAAGGTCTTGCTCTGTTGTCTGGGCTAGAGTGCAGTGGCATCATCATAGCTCACTGCAACCTCAAACTCCTGGGCTCAAGTGATCCTCCTGCCTCAGCCTCTGGAGTAGCTAGGATTACAGGCATCCACCACCAAACCCGGCTAATTTTTTTAATTTTTTGTAGAGACAGGGTCTTACTATTTCCCTGGCTGGTTTCAAACTCCTGAGCTTAAAAGATCCTCCTGCCTTGGCCTCCCAAAGTGCTATGATTACAGGTGTGAGCCACCACACCTGGCCTTCTTAAAGGCTTCTAAAAGTAATTAAAAATTAGTACATTGGCAAAAGTACCTTTTGGGATGCTGGAAATGTTTTCATATTGATCTGAGTGATGGTTACAGTATGTATACATCTGTAAAAATCCTGTACACTTGATTGCATGTTGTCTCACTTTGAAAAACAAGTTTTTAATGATTGCATTAGATACTGACAAAGATTACTTTCATTCGTCCTGAGGAAAACTTCTTTTCCTTAGGTCATATTTATTTAGTATTCTTTTTTTTTTTTTTTTTTTTGAGACAGAGTCTCACTTTGTTGCCCAAGCTAGAGAGAGTGAGTGCCGTGGCGTCAGCCTAGCTCACAGCAACCTCAAACTCCTGGGCTCAAGCAATCCTGCTGCCTCAGCCTCCCGAGTAGCTGGGACTACAGGCATGTGCCACCATGCCCAGCTAATTTTTTCTATACATATTAGTTGGCCAATTAATTTCTTTCTATTTATAGTAGAGACGGGGTCTCACTCTTGTGCAGGCTGGTTTCGAACTCCTGACCTTGAGCAATCTGCCCGCCTCGGCCTCCCAGAGTGCTAGGATTATATTCGTGAGCCACCACGCCTGGCCTATTCAGTATTCTTAATTGAAAATGGAAACCAACTCCAGTTAGTTTAAATGACTAACTTTAAATTTAAAACCATTAGTTAGCTTATAGAATATTTCAGAGGACCAGATAAAGCAGGCTTGAACCAGCCAAAATCCCTCAAAAGAACTATTCTAGTGGAAATATTATTGCTAAGTCACTGGGTGCAGACATTGCCACTTGCTCCATCAATGCTGAATAGTAAACACTACCCTCAGTACTATTAACTCTGGAAACTTGATCTGCCGCCATCCTTGCCAGAATGGATTCCACAAGGTCCCTGCTTCTTTTATCACAAACTTCTGAATCAGATCTGATGCAGGTATATCTGATTAGAGGATCCCAGGTCATGTGCCTAAACCGAAACTGCAAGGGAGGCTAGGTAAGCAAGTATCCTACCCTCTGTCTTAGAGATTGGAGAACCATCAGACAAAGTGTTTCCTAATCCTTAGAAAGAGTGTTCAAACTTCCAGGGAAGTCAGAGAGAATCACAAATATCTACCAGAAGAAAACTAACATGCCTAACCCCCTCCCTAAACTGCCAGTCCTTCTAATTTGATTGATTTTGACATAGCTAATAACTGTAATCTTAGCTAAGTGTATAGTATGGTACCAGAGTTGAAGTTGTTAAACTTTCTTATCCACAACTGTTTGTAGTATCAACTATTATGCTTTTTGAAGATTTCAATTTTTCTATAGGTATATATATATTTGCTTTTTTTTTTTTCGCCTAGCTTTACTTGAATGACCTGTGCCAAGAGCAAGTCCTAAGTTTTTTAATATTGGAGATAGGTAGGCACAAGTAAATGAATACTTACTAGAAAAATGTCTGCTTAAAGTAAAATGATTTTTCTTTTATTCATTTTCAGGAATTAGAAGCTTATGTAGATGATATAGACATAGACAGTGATTTCAGAAAGGATGATTTTTATTACTTATCTCAAGAAGATAAAGAGAGACAGAAGCGTGAACATGAAGAATCCAAGAGGGTGCTCCAAGAATTAAAATCTGTGCTGGGATTTAAAGCTTCAGAGGCAGAAAGGCAGAAGTGGAAACAACTTCTATTTAGTGATCATGGTAAGCACTGATTTTAGAATACAAGGTTATTTCAGTGTAGGAAATCCTTTTTTTCTTCAACCTTGCATCTTATTTTAAGTGTAGAATTCTGTGGCTTTAATTTTCGGGAGATCCACTAGTAAGTATAATACTTTTTCTTCTAGACATGAAATCAATTTGATCAATAAAAGAATAAGTATGTAATCACATTGGGAATATGAAGTCACACTTTTTCATCAGTTATCTAATATTTTACTAATTTTTTTTAGAATGAATGGGCAGTAAGTTGAATAATTTGGGATATTTTAAATGTTATTTTCAAATCTAGTGAATTTGAGATTCTAAACTCTGTTCTGCATATGTTAAAATGTTAAAAATACCTCAGTGAAGCACAAAATTAATAACTCTATGTTCACTATTTAAAAATTGAATTAAGACCTACCATTTAGACATATAATTAGAGTTACTTAAGTAGTTTGAGCACTTTAGTAGATGGGAAATGTGGAGGTGATTTCTGTATATGCTTCTCCATACTCTGATTTGGGTAGAGTGGGGTGGTTAATAGCCTTCAATTCCTTTATGTTTCTTACCCTCCTTTTCTTCATTCAACTTCCTGGGAGGTGGGGGAAGGAATGAAAGGAAGTTTGATACTTGACAATATCAACCTTGCTAATTTAATTCTTAGTTGAATTTAAGCCTATGGGTTTCTAAGAAAGCAGAGTGAGACTTTCCTTCCCTTTTAGAGTATCTGTATGGAGCCTCAAAATCAACTGCCTTCTTTTCCCTTCCTCACTAGAAGTATACAGATTAACTATACCTTCTAGAAGGCTGTCTTTTCTTCTTTTAGGAGCCCTACAATTCTCCTCTGTCCAGATCTACGTTTCCTGGTTTTATCTTTCCTTTTCTTCCCACAAGCCCACTTTATAGCCCAGGTCCTCATTAGATTATGCTTGTACTTTATCATAGCCTCTTAGCTGATTTCCATTTTCAGTACCTTTTTCTTCTAAGCTATCTTGCAAGCTCTATCCAGATTTTTCTCAAACAGTGCATTGGTGATAGCTCTCTCTATCTTGAAACCTATAGTGGTTCCTCCTTTCTTATCGTATCAAATCTAAATTCCTTTTCCTGGTTTCAAGCCTCTTCATCATAGGAATCTATCATATATGTAATTATATTTTTTACTATTTCTAATATGAATGTCTTCTTGTACTTATATTTATCTTATTAGACTACAGTTCCACAAATTTGCCATTTCTGCTTATCCCTTTACCAAGAATTCTATCTTATCCACCAAGCTGTCCTCTCTATTAGTCTCTCCTTCTCCATGACTCCTTCTTTGACTGCTCCAGCTCTGCCACCTCTCCCACCACTATAGACCCTCATGCTAGAGAGACATGGTAGTGAAATGTAAAGGATGTCTTGAGCAGCAAAGCCTATAGCAGAGAAGGAAAATGATTAAGAACTTTCCTGCAATCTGCTTGTTCATATATTGGGCCTACATAAATCAGAGATTAATGGTATTATGTTTTAGGCACTATTGTTTTCTATGTTTTCAGTTTTTTTGTTTTGATAACTAAATTATAGTCTCCTTACATAGGGGCCATATTATCTTCACAGCATTCATTCAGCAAATTATTCATTCAACAAGTAGTTATTGAGTATTTGTTATATGCCAGGCATTGCATACTGCTGTATCCCTAGCACATAGATCAAGAGACAAAAATACCTACCCACTACAGTGCACACTATTCGGGTGATAGGTACAGTAAAAGCCCAGACTTTACCACTATATAATTCATCCAGGTAGCAAAAAACCATTTGTACCCCCTAAATATATTTAAATGAAAATTAAAAATTTTTTAAAATGACTACCCTCCAAGAGGCTTACATTCAAACACAGTTGTCATTAATCCTCTCATTATATAGATTATATCCCCCATTTAATTAGCAATAATCTTAAATAGCAATCAACTTCTATATGTTGCATTCTTTAAGAACTAGCATATTTATAAACTAAAGGTGTATATAGACTGAAAATAGCATTGTATATAAACTTGTATGCTTTTTTATTGTTTAGTATTTTCTTCAAAATTATCCTATTGACATTATGGGCAAAGATATATCAATGAGAGAAATGTGTCTCATTTTCAGGTATGTGCTTTTGATACAGTTTGCATTGGAAAAGGCAATAATACTGTTTTAGTTTGTGAAAATATGTAAAAAGCTGCTGATACCATAGAATGCTTTTCCCATGAAAAATTTCAGTGCATCTTCCAGAGTTGTTTTCATCTCTGCCTACAGGGTTTGTAAAGTCCGAATGGAATTAGAAAGGGAAATTCTACACTGGAACCTGCTGTGGCCATTTTTTTCTGTTGTTGCTGCTTCTCTAGTGGAGTTACTGCAGCTTAGGGATGTTTCTTGGAAATGGACGCGTTTCCCAAAGTATTTTTTAAATACACGCCAGATCTTCAAGAAGCACTTTTTTTTTCATCCGTCATGCTTCATAATATATTGTATTGTACTAACCCCCTCATGCTGGGAGGAGAGACTGCCTAGCAAGCAACCCACTGCCTACTAACATCAAGAGGGGCTAAATAAAACTTCATTTTCCTTGCAAGGACAACTTCTGCCGTATGGATATATGTTATATTTATGTATTATATTTTGTATAATAGTTGATCTTAAATCCAGATTTTATTTCATTTGTATTTTTCTGTGGCACTAGAAAATGTGTAGACGTTATGGCTTTACTTTCATTAGGATCTTGTTAGGTGGTTGGCAAGTAAGTTGAATTGTATGTTGCATTTTTTCCATGCTGTTTTAACTTGTAAATATATATATGTTGAAGATATTATTATCTGGATTACTGTGGGCCTTTTATCTGACACATTATCAATGAAAACCATGCTGCTTAATCTTTAATACAATTGGTCTCAAACTTTAGTGTGTATATTAGAGTCAAGAGGAGGGCTTATGAAACACGGTTGGTCCTCCCTCCCAGAGTTTCCAATTCAGTAGGTCTGCAATAAGGCCCAAGAATTCACATTTCTAACATCCTAGGTGATGACTGATGCTGTTGGTACCGGCACCACACTTTGAGAACCACTGCTTTAATATTTGGAATAAGATAATATGTGAGGTGTTTTAAACATCCTTATCTGGCCAGGCACAGTGGCTCACTCCCATATTCCCAACACTTTGGGAGGCCAAGGTGGCAGGATCGCTTGAGCCCAGGAGTTCAAGAACAGATCCCGTCTCTAAAAAAATCTAAAAATTAGCTAGGCATGGTGGTGCATGCCTTTAAGCCCAGCTACTTGGGAAACTGAAATAGGGGGATCACTTGAGCCCAGGAGTTTGGAGATGTAGTTGAGCTATGATCACAGTGCTGTAGAGCCTAGGTAATAGATTGAAACTCTGTCTCTGTAACAGGAAAAAGGAAAAAAACCTCAATAATTCCCTATTCATTTACTTTCTTAGGCATTTTATCTCTTATAAAGTTCCCTGGCTTTATGAATTTACATTGATTAATTGATTTTACTAGAATATTTTATTTAGCTTTTATTCATTTATCATTCTTTAAAAAACTACTGGGAGTTTAAATTAAAAGTTTAAATCATTGCTAGGTCCTTAGTTATTATTTTCTTTTTTCTTTTGTTTTTTCTTTGAAGCCGTGTTGAAATCCTTGTCTCCTGTAGACCCAATGGAACCCATAAGTAAATCAGAACCATCAATGAATTCAGATATGGGAAAAGTTGGTAAAAATGATACTGAAGAGGAAAATAGTAAACCCTCCACAACTGAGAGTGAAATAAGTAGGACTGAGTATTTATGTGAAAACCCTGTAGAGGATAAAAATAAAGACAATTCTGCAAACAAAGTCTTCCTCCAAGGAGCAGAAGAAAGAATGTATTACCAATGTGACAGTGAAGATGAATCTCAGGAGGCAGATGGAGGTGGCATGGCCACTGGCCCTCCAACTCACAGGGACTCATTACAGCCCTCCATTAAGCACAGGCTGGCACGGCTACAGCTGTCACCGGATTTTACCTTCACTGCAGGCCTCGCTGCAGAAGTGGCTGCTAGATCTCTCTCCTTTACCACCATGCAAGAACAGACTTTTGGCGATGAGGAGGAAGAACAAATAATAGAAGAAAATAAAAATGATGTAGAAGAAAAATAAGAACCAAGATTCACATGAAGTGATTTTAGATTGTTCCTTTTATGAAAATGTTTAGCTTCAAGACTGGAAAGGGAAAATGAGTATAAGTTTACTATATATATAAAGCTAAAATGTGAATTTACAGGAAGAACCCTGGTTTGAATAATTGATCTGAAATTAAGTAGTTACCTGTAAATGGCAGTTGTGTTAGGAAAATAAGAGAAAGGTAAGGGCTCTCTTGAATAAACTGCTGTTTTATTTGTGGCACATCTGATCAATCTTGGGAATTCTTTAAGTATTTTTAATAAGAAATGAATCATCATTTCTTGCCAGAATTTGCTACCATAAAGTAATTGGGATAATTCTGTTGCAAGAACATTAATATTTAGTATGACTCCTTTTTACTGTATTTTTGCAGTTAATAACTGCAGCTATTATGTTAATAACCAGTTGTTTGTATTTCATTTTTGTTTATACCAATCTTCGAACATACAGGTTCTGAATAAAAAAATTAATTCATACAATTGATGTGTGCTGGGGTTTGGAACAAAAAAGTAGTTTGAAAAGTACTTGGGTTATGACATATTTCTTAAGTTTCTTTGCTTGTGTGGATTTAGTAGTTAATTTTAAGATATCTTAATGATCTTTAAAAAAAGAACATTGTACCATTTTAAGAATTATGCCTTCAATGTTTTTGTTTATTACTTCTTCCATTCTTGTTGCAACTAAAAGAGATTATATCAAAGTGGGATCCCTATAGGCCAAGGCCGGGCCCCCAATTTAGCATAAAGTTCTTTGTATCAGTCTGCCTAGAGATGATAGGGTGCCATTAACACAGGCAGATCACAATGCTGCTGTTTTCTAGCCCTGTCCACCTTAATGAGATTCAGGAAACATCCTGCCAGTTTCTTGGTTCATTTACATACTACCTCTTAAAACAGACTGTTTTTCAGATTGGCCAATCTCACTTGTTTTGTGTTGTGACTGCATTTTTCAAAGAGTGATATTTTCAGAAGTATACTGTTTTTGAAACCTATAACTCCTGTGCACTGACATAGTTTATAGACATATTTAGGAAACATGGTAGGAATAACTCACTTTCCTAGAAAGAAAATTACATGAGAGTCTAGCTTATCTTTAGAGTTAAGAAATACATTCAAATTCTATAATTTAGCACTGTTGGTGAGTAAATTTACTTATACCGAAGGGGATTTTTTTCTTTCAATAATCTAAGGAAATTTATTTTTTTATCCTGAGGAAAAACTTGGTTCTGCTTTATATGATTCAGGTAGAGATCCTTTGTATTATAAGTGATTTTGCCTTTTGCCAAAATTCTGGGACTTATTTATTCTGGGACTATTAATATCCTGGGACTTATTATTCTGGGACCTACTTAACCTCTTAGGAGCAATACCTAACTTTACCATTTGGAAATAGCTAAATTTCAAGAAAAAAATTCTTCTTGCACTGTACCTGACTATTATATTCTTAAATAATAATATTTAGGGTTTAACTTTCTTATTTAGATTTCTTATTTAGTTTGCTGACTTCATTATTACTTAGCTTTAGAAGAAGCAATTATGGAAAAACTTGGTAATTTCTCTCTTAACCTATAACCATACACAGGAAGAATTAGAGTTTAATAATTTTTAATTCTTTTATTGTATTCTATTTTTATTACCCTAATTTTGGGGAAATATCTTCATAATATTGGATCAGTGTTATTCAGTGTTCTCTAAGATGATACTTTTTATTTTGAAAGACTAAATAATTTCAATCAGGAATTTCTAATCTTTTAGGCTGATCTGTTTTATTCACTAGTTGTTACTTAGTTCCATGAAAACTCTACTTGTTGAAATTATGATATACACAGCTTGGAACTTTAATTGAATATTCTTTCTTATATGTAGTTTTCAGCTTTTAAAATACTTCCAATGTAAAATATTATTTTCTTTTCAAAAATTTCTTAACTAATTTTCTCTTATTCTAAGTCAGTGTTTCCTAGTTGTTTTAGTGGGGTACCTGCATCACAATAAACTGGAATTCTTATGTTTTAAATGGAGAATTTAAGCCACATTCCCAGTGATTATTAGTTGGTCATTTGGTCATTTAGGTAATGTTTATGCCCAATAAAATCTAAGACTTTGTTCTTGTCATGAATACCTTAGGAAATATAAACAAAAGGGCCAATGGAATATAAGTAGGTATTCTTTTTTCATTATTTTTCTAAGAATATTTTACTTTTTAAAAATCAGGTTTTGACCTTTTTTTCTTTTAACACTGTTTATTATTATTATTATTCAATATGAGTGCTCCTTTCCAAAAATGTATTGATCTAATTTGGAGAGAGTAAAATGTTTTGGCTAGTTTTAATAGGTGCCATCCTATATCTAGAATGATCTAGATCATCCTATCCTATATTTTCCCACTGGGAAAAATATTTTATGGGGAAAACTTAGAATTGTGCTTTCCAAATTTTACAATATTATTTTGATAGTATAATTCTTTTTAGGAATAGCATCCTAATAGCTTTTAATACAAAGATTTCCATAGTTTGTTCAATCAGGGCAAACCTAGTAGTTAACAGAAGAATGCATGTGAGTCTATTTAGTTCACTCTCAAAAGACTGGCTTTTTACCCTTTGTCTACCTACAGATAAGAAAGTCAATTTAAAACTCAATTTTCTTTTAAAAATAAAAGTAACATTCTGATTCACACAATAAAAATGACAAAGTTTTTAATGTTAAAGCATAGAAAGAATCAATTTCGATACATTTCACAAAATAAGTCAATAGAATGTTAGTCAGAAGAGACCCTAGAGATCATTTCACTCTGGTGACTCTGACTCTTTACTTCCCATCAGTAATGTAAAATACCAAATATTTTAACAAAGTATTAGGAATCATATGGGGATAAAAGTTCAACTGATTTGGTTTAATCATAGTGTATTTCTATACCCGAACAAAACAAGGAAACAAGAGCTAAGTATCCCAGGACTGTGGTATAGCTCAGCTAAATCATTCTTTAAACTAATGTAGCTATTATACTTTGAATGACAGCCAAAACATAAGATTGGTTTATTTTTCTAATTCTATTAAGAATGTATCTATGCAAATCATACTTACATTAGCAAACAAAACTGCAAATATTTTAGAAGAGAAGACATAGGAAAAATATCTAAGTACAGTAACAATTCCTTTATCTGTCGTCACTGCCAGGTGATTAACTTGCATAAGTTAATTTTTTAGCTACCTAAGGCAAATCCTTTTAATCATTAAATTTAACATTTTAGTAACTAGGTATACTTTCTACTTCACATTTTCTAGAGTTATATAAAAGATCATTTAACTTTTTCTCTATCATCTTTAAGAATATCAGTTCCTCTCAGGGGATGATTAACAGAAATTCACCTTCAGGGGCTATTGAGATATATGGTATCATGTGCCCCGTTACTACATGACTTCACATTGCTATGCTTTTTGAGTTATGTCTGTTTTTCACAGTTTCTTTATCTTCCCTTATAATCAGCTGTCACTTTTGCTGCTGTCTTGTGCGCCTGCCTCCTGCAATAGGCCCCTAATTTGCTGCTTCTAATCTGCTGTGGACTGAGAAGCCCGATTGCCAAGCTTGCTAAAATTGTGTCTAAAATAAGAGTAAGTAGACTGAAAGAAAGCTGAGGGGCTTTTCTGTCAGTAAAGTGCATGGACTTTGTGATAACTGTTTGGCTGCTTAGCATTTTTTGGTTTGCCTCTTCGTTTTTTACTAAGAAGTTGCTAAAAATATTTGGTTTGAATATGTGATTGCCATATATTTAAACTATTGAGTTTTTGTATATTGATGTTTCTAGGATTCTCCATTAATGAATTCTACTGTAAAAGAAAATTTGACTATCTTCTTTGTATATATCATTGTGTATATTTCAGGAAAATATCAAATATTTTGTTCTCATTAATTGTTCTTAGGACAACACAGATTTAAAACTTACAGCATTATAAATGTAACTTCCACTCTATTCACTAAGACTTGTATTCTAGAACTATTGGTTTGAAACTAAACATGGACTTTACTAAGAACTGGCTAACTTGATATCTGGGGAATGAGTCATTATAGATGTCCTAGTTTCCTACAGAGCTTGAACCTCTTTCAGCATTAAAATTTTTTGAAATAATTTCTGAAGGAAATCTTTATGAAACATATGCATTGCTTTCTTCTTAAATAATGTATGAAATATATTTAATTTTTTATATCACGGTAGTCAGTAACGTGAGTTATGATACTCAGCTAGACTAATTATACACTGAGAGCTGTTTGTCCCTGTACTAAATGGCTCCATTCTGCTGTGCTTGTTTCAGTTTTCATGCCTTTGTTTTTTAATAATCATTCTGATTCCTCAATTTATTTTACTTCTTACTCAACTATGCCTGTAACAGTAGCCTTTCTCTACCTTCATAATGTGCCTTCTGATCTGCTTTTGCTTTGGAAACCAGATGACTAATACAGTTAGAATTATGTATAAAGTAAAAGTGAATAGACTCAGAGTGAAGACCAAAAGAGGCAGATTATGCTGAAGTGTGTGGATTTTGTGACAGTTATTACTCACTACCTGTTTCACTGCTATCTTTAAAATATGTGAAGGTACTGGATTCTATACCTGCTCTCAAAATAGAAGAGTTATTATTATACAAAAGGAATCATTTTGTTTCCATACTTTACTTGCTCTAAAGTTAGTTCTATACTATAATTCTTTGGCTCTGATTAAAACTGGTCCACTCAAGTTAGCGTTTTCTATAGTATTTCCTATTTGAATTGGATACCACATGCTGTTAAGAATTTCTTTGGCTTTTTGTTTTTGTTGTTTAGAGAGAAATATATCTTCACTTCCAAGACATGAAATAGATTAAGACCTGAAAAATAAGAAAACATTCATTATTGATATCACAGAGGTATGAGAAATAATAAGGTTTATAGTCTAGGCAATTGTACCATAAAGGATTTCTTTTTTGATTATGCTACTTTTTAAAACAGTATCTTTATTTTTATTTAACTAAAGGAAATATATGTTAAAAGCTTACCAAAAATTATCAGTGTTAGATCTAATGATATAGACAGATATTTGAATGACTAAATTTCCACTGTCACTCTATATTTGGCATGTTTAAATTTCATTTAATATGTTAAATAATCAAGCAGGATGACTTTTCTATCTTGAATGAAAAGTAAACCTGAAATTTGCATGTTATAATATTTGCAAGTAAAATTCAAATCTGCCTAGAAATGGATATGCTAGCATCAAACAACTTATTTTTACTGATATGCTGATTGTGTTTTAGTAACCATATATTGACTCATGTTTCTATCACATACAGAGTAATTGGAAAATCAATCTATCCATGTTATGACCATGCCTCATAGTCAGCTTTTAGTTATCTGTGCTAATAGAAGGGAGCTATGATATAATACTCATAAAAATTAAATTATCCAAACCATTTCTTGAGTTGAGATTGCCATTCCAGAAGAGATAGTCACAACGCCAAACCTGGCTTGGTGGTAGAGGGAGCAAGCTTCTCTTTGAGTATAGTTGTGAGAGGAAAGTGATTCTACTCAGTGTGATTGCTGTAAATCAAAAAGAGAATAAATTGATTTCAGGATTCACACATGCAAAAGTTTAGCATGAATAAGGAAGAACTGATTTTATGGATATCCTAAAATGTGTGATAAATTAAAATGCATATGGTATTTTTTAAATGCTATACATTTTAATATATTTTAGGTTGTCAGCCATAAAATTAGTTTTATTTCTGTGTCTTGAATTTCATTTAGCAACATGTTATTGCAATAGAACAGTATTTGAGCTGTGTATAGTTCTAACTGCACTATCTTTAAAAATGGGTATATTCTATGAGATACGGTTGGAGAAATATATATTTCCTCTCATATTTATATCTTAAGAGCTTCTTAAGTTAAGGGATAATTTTACTATTTAAGGCCTTATGTTTTTCACTTTTATAACATTTCCTAAAGGTTGGCTACCAACCAATGAGTTTATTATTGAATATTTTTTCTAAAACTAAGCATGTCTTTTTATGAGTTTATTCTTTTATAATATCTAAAACAATTACATATCCTTTCCCCCTTCCCAAGTAAATTCTTAAGGAAATTAACTCCATTTCTAAATCTAAGTATTTTCTGCACTTTTATTGCACTAATGTGTGCCTTGTGTTCATACTATGACTTAAGTAGCACTCAGGCACAGTACTAACATATGACAATGTACAGAAGGTTCCAGATATGTTACTCCCATCCCTTAAAGGTTGGTGTATGGTGCTGGTACAGACCTGGAGGTCCATGTGAGTGAAAAACCGAGAAGTCTACCTGAGCTGAAAGGACTCCCAAGGAGTTTGGTTTTGTTTGGGTTTGTTCTAGGTATGGTCCCAGGGATCCCAGATCAAACCAGGCCCCTGGGCCTATCCTAGAACCAACCTAAACTCGCGCATCATTCCTGGAACATCAAGAACATGAAGACGAAGATAACCTGAGGCTGATGTTCATCAAGATTCACATTTTGTTGTATGTGTGTCTACATTTTAGCAAGAATTGGTTGCTAACCCTTCTAAAATTAGAGGGATGACATTTGGTAAAAAGGTAGTCCTTAAAGTAGCTGTGTATCTGTAAAATAAAATTTTAAAAAAAAAGGTAGTCTTTTCAGACAGACTGACATTATAGTAATTTCTCACCATAGAAAGTCTATTTGGTTATTATTAATTGCCAGTGAGGAGAGATAGTGTTGTGACTTTTATTATCAGATCTCTATTTTTAGCTGAAGCAACTTAGCCACATAAAATCAACCTCTCCTCCCCAAGACAATCTTCCCCCCAAATTAATGGTTTCTGTTTTCTTAAACACTTTCTACAATATTACATCAATCTCATTTAATTGAATAATTGTTCATAGTTTCTGATGGGCATTTGGTCCTTGCTTTCTGGCTCCAATGCTAAGTGATTTTAAACTCTTGTTTCTGGAGATTAATGCATTGTCTTTTAATATGTTATTGAATTTGCCATATTTTAGGGTTCACATTTATTTATTGATTGATTTTTGAGACAGAGTCTCACTCTGTTGCCTGGGCTAGAGTGCCATGGCATCAGCCTAGCTCATAGCAATGGCAAACTCTTGGGCTCAAGCAATCCTTCTGCCTCAGCCTACTGAGTAGCTAGGACTACAGGCATGCACCACCATGCCCGGCTAATTTTTTCTATATATTTGTAGTTGTCCAATCAATTTCTTTCTATTTTTAGTAGAGATAGGGTCTCACTCTTACTCAGGCTGGTCTTGATCTCCTGAGCTCAAACGATCCTCCCGCCTCAGCTTCCCAGAGTGCTAGGATTACAGGCATGAGCTACCATGCCTGACCTAGAGCTCACTTTTAGAGGTTCTGCTGTGGATAATGAAAACAAGCAAGGATGATGTAGTAGAGATAGGTTAATGCCTCACATTTCACATCAGTATTTTACAGAAGGAGATTTTTTTTAGGCTTCTCAGTTTTTGTTCCCTGCTGCTCTGGATTTTTAAAATATTCTAGTTAATTCATCACATGGTCTCATATCATAACTGTGGCATTGCTATAGTCACATACATGTTTTTTTCTGTTTAATTTAGAAGACAAGATTTCTGAAAAGGCATGAAATGATCCCAAATCCAAAAGTTACAGTGGACAATGAAAATGTATATTAGTCATGCTGGCTTCTGCAGTCAGTTTAGACCATGTCTGAAATGATTGCAGACTGTCCAGGCGCAGTGGTTCACGCCTGTGATCCTAGCACTTTGGAAGGGCAAGGCGGGAGGATTACTTTAGGTCAGGAATTTGAGACCAGCCTGAGCAAAAGTTGAGACCCCATCTCTACAAAATATAGAAAAACTAGCTGGGTATGGTAGTGTGTGCCTGTAGTCCTAGCTACTTGGGAGGCTAAGGCAGGAGGATCCCTTGAACCCAAGAGTGTGAGGTTACAGTGAGCTATCGTGAGGCCACTGCACTCTAGCCCAGGCAACAGAGCAAGACCCTGTTCCAAAAAAAAGAAAAGAAAAGAAGAGAAAAGAAAAGAAAAGAAAAGAAAAGAAATAATTGTAGACTAATCCGGAAATCCACATGTGAAAGTAGCTTGAAATTGTGCTGGTCCTCTAAGCCTTATCACACCAGCAAAATTGGGTCAGTAGAATTTTCCTTTAAAATAGGACTGTGAGCCTATTGAGTTTCACTCTGAAGAACTCAGCTGTGGAGTTAGTTCTATATTATGTTCATCACATAAATGCTTCATCACATAGATTCAACTATTTTTGCCTTTTAAATCTTATTGTGTTTACTTTTCATTCTCATTGTTTTCCTTTCTGCACAGTGTTTTTCTGGGAGCATAGTTAACTATTTCTTGACATGGACTGAAATGAGCGAACCTATCTTAGGTTTATATATAATGTGTTCTCAATATTTGGGGGGCATTTGCACACAGTATCTTTTAACATTGTTAATTATGAACACAGAAAATAGGAATTTGTAAACTGTTTAAAGAGTTAAGGCTTATTACTAAAGTTTTTTAAAGTCTGCCTTCAATTCAGATTCTTATTAGAGATGTTTTTTTCATTTTTTTCTTATTGAATTTTAAACTGTATTTTTAAAGATATCTTTTGAGAATATTCTTTCAGAGGTATTTTCATTTTCACTTTTCTATCACTTGTGTTTTATATATTAGAACTGTACATTTCCTACTCTACCTGAAGACTTGAGATTATAATCTTTTTTAGGGAAGGGCACGGGACTCTTTTTGTGTACGTTTTTTAAATTATGATTTTTTTAAAAATATATACAAATTTTACCATCTTAACCATTTTTAAGTATACAGTTCAGTAAGGTTAAATATATTTATAGTATTGTGAAACTCATCTCCAGAACTTTTTCATCTTGCAAATCTGAGACTCTATACCTAGTAAACAACTTCCATTTTCTGCCCTCCCCACCCCCCAGAGCCTCTAGCAATCACATTTCTACTTACTGTTTCAAGGAATTTGACTATTTTAGATACCTCACATAAGTGGAATCATACAGTATTTGTCTTCTTGTAACTTATTTTACTTAATATAATGTCCTCAAGGTTAATCTATACTGTAGTATATGACAGTATTTCCTTTTTTAAGGCAGAATAATATTTCATTGTATGTATTTACCACATTTTTTTCATCCATTCTTCCATTGGTGGACATTTGGGTTGCTTCTGCCTTTTAGTTATTGTGAATAATGCTGCTGTGAACATGCGTGTGCAAATATCTATAACATTTATTTCGATGCAGTACTTTCTTTAACCACATTTTGTAACTTGTCACATTGAATTTTTGTCAAACATTTTAAAGGATTTTATAAGAACCCAGCTGTAGGTTTATATATGTGTGTATATTTCGTTCCTCCTAAGCTTAAGAAATCTCAAATAAAGTCTGTACTTTCTTATATCTTTTTTGTCTGTACCTTTTTTTATTCTGATGTTTACAACATGAATTAATAACCAAAAGGTAAAAATCCTTTTTCTCTTCCTTCTGTCTCTATTTTTCAGAATTTACTAATATAATAACAAGGGGCAAATTTCTGGGAAAGCCTTTGATTCATTAGTCCAAGTTTTATTTATTCATTTAAGTGCCTCACATGATAATTTATCAGACTGAAAACAGCAGTTTAAGTTTAAAAGTTCCATTTTTGCCATTCCCAGTGACTGTCAGCCATTTGATACATTCTAAGCATGTTATATTTTTTGATTTATATTACTTCCCTGACAGAAAAAATACTGACACAAAGGATGTTAACATCCAGTGGATCATACTTTCATGAGTTGGTTAAATGAATAAATTATTGGTTTGAACCTTTCTAGGCTTACCTACACTTTGGAGAATGTTCATGGGAACTCCCAAATGGTTCTGTAGACTAAATGCTGGTTAAAGAGAAATTGGCCTTCCTTGAACTGAACTTTTAGATAAATATGCCATCTCTTTCCAGAAAAGATTTTGAGCAAAAAATAAATATGTATAAAGGCAATTTTTGAAACTTCGCCCTTGTCTGGGATTTTCTAATTAAAAGTGTGAGATAAGGTAAGTAAGATGTATGTAATTACCAGATTCTGAAGTCATTGGGTAGGAAATATCCCATTTGATAATCATTCCTTGTCTTCACAATTTGCTTTTGAAGGTCTTCAGGAGATGTGCTATAGCCATTGAAAATAAAGTTGGCAAATAGTAATTTTCCCCGAATGTACATCTGTAAATGTTAATAGAACATTTTCAGAATCTGGTCATAAAATAGTAGGTCTATTTATTTGAAGGAAGATCTTCAGATGTGTCCTTATGAGAAAGCATTGTATGTATACATATAACACGGTCATCATACATATTCCTAGAACCTGAATACATTGTTTGAGAGTAAGAAAACAGCTCAGTAGTTTTCTTACTCAATCACACACACATAAAGTGGCAGAACCAGTATCCTAATTAGATAACGAGATCCTAAAAGCTACCAACATCTCTTAATCTTTATGATAAGCTGCCTAGTTATACATTTCATTTTACAGCTAACCTCTAGGAGACAGTACAGAGCCCTTGAATTTGGAAGTCATTAGACGAGTTCTGGACAAAACTATTACTTTAAAACTCAGGCAAATCATTTAACCATATTGAGCCACAGTTTCCTTTTTTATTTTATTTTTATTTTTTTGAGACAGAGTCTCACTCTGTTGCCCAGACTAGAATGCTGTGGCATCAGCCTAGCTCACAGCAACCTCAAACTTCTGGGCTCAAGCGATCCTCCTGCCTCAGCCTCCCAAGTAGCTGGGACTACAGGCATGCGCCACCATGCCTGGCTAATTTTTTCTATATTAAGTTGACCAATTAATTTCTTTCTATTTTTAGTAGAGACGGGGTCTTGATCTTGCTCAGGCTGGTTTCAAACTCCTGACCTTGAGCGATCCACCCGCCTTGACCTCCCAGAGTGCTAGGATTACAGGTGTGAGCCACCGTGCCCAGCCCACAGTTTCCTTTGTAAGGAAAAAATCAATTATGATTTATGAATTAGATTAGACTTCTAAAAGTTTTTCCATTTCTAAAATTCTCTTTTATAAAAATGTACAACTCTACTATGTGAAACCAACTTCATCACTCTGTCCTAAGGTGCAAGAAGAGAGCTTATTTTGAGGCACAGTGAACTTAGAATATTCAACTTTTAGAGACTGGACAGAAGGATAAGAAAAGATAGCAAAGGAAAGAGATAGCAGTTTAAAAAATAAGTTTAGCTGGTTCCGACACAGAACTTAACACTGCTAAGAACAGAATATACCTTGTATCTTCAAGCAGTCCAACACAAGTATTTAAAATTAAAAGGAAAGTATATGCAGTCAAAAGGAACAATAGTTCCCTACGATTACACGTTATTCCTTTCCCCTTAAATAGCATGATCTTTTCATCGTGAAGGGATATCCTATTATAAGGTTTTCTCTGTGGATAGAATTTTCAGGTTTGTCATTTCTCTAACAAAAGAATCCATCTCTTATTTTATATCTAGAACCATCTATATAGCCATTGCTGACTGAAATGGAGTCCTGGTGGTTTCTTGATGCAAAATGCTTTGTTCTTTAGCACCTATGCCTATTAGCCATGAAGCCATTTATCTTGCTTGAACTTAGAAGATTGAGCTATGATACTCATACATGGGTAATGATAGCCAGTGACAAGGTTATAGTACAAAATATTTAATATACATGTGAATATAAGATCTGAAGAACTTAACAGTGATTATTCTAAACAATGACACAAGAATGACATTTAGTCAGTTTTTCCCCCCAAAATGAACATGATGTTTGTATAACTGGGGGAAAAGGTGTTATTTAAAAAATTGATACATTGAGAATGTTTCATTCTTATTTGGAGCTTGTATTCACACATAAGAAGAAAGCTTTCCATTCTGTGTATATTCAAACTATTAGTTCCTAGGGTCATGCTGGGGCCCAGAGTGTTCAGTTCTTGCAGGAATAACTTGGTCATAATACAGAAAAATGTTAAACTAGAAAAAAACCACTTATGTTTCTGTTGTCCCAGAGGCCAAGATATGACCAGATCCAGTATCAAAATTCTAAATTTTTTCTTAATGATGTTTTGTTGAGTTTGAATTTTAGTTAACTTCAAAACCTGGAATAATCTAATCCAGAGGTTCTCATCATTATAACAACCAAGAATCCCTGATATTATTTTCCTCATGGGCCCCATGTTTTGAAGGATTTCTATTTACCACAAAATCTGTATTCACTGAAAACTCTATAATTTCTGCACACACATATATCACCCCCCTTTTTTTTAATTAACCAAAGCCATAGTTGCCACTCAGTTTGTGTACTGCGTGCCAGGCACTTGTTTTGGTGCTGAAGACGGAGCAATGAACAAAATATCTGCACTCATTGAATACCATAGGATAGACACAATATATACATATTGGGAGTCAGGTGATGATAAACACTATACAGAAAAAAAAAGCCTAACAGGAGGGATATGGGGGATGGAGAATACTTTTTTATATAGGGCGGTCACACATGAAGGGAGTGAGGGAACCAGTCCCACAAATACCAAAGAGTTTTTGCAAAAGTAGTACAATAGCTGGGCATGGTGGCTCATGCCTGTAATTGTAGCACTTTGGGAGGCTGAGGCAGGAGGATCACTTGAGCCCAGGAGTTTGAGGTTGCTGTGAGCTAGGCTGACTCCACGGCACTCTAGCCCAGGAAAAAAAGTGAGACTGTCTTAAAAAAAAAAAAAAAAGGTCAAAGAGTGGTGTGACAGGGGAGATGGCAAATTACACTGGGTTGAGAAAATTTGCTAGGCTCTTTCTGGTTTCTAGGATCAGGTCTCCTGCTGTTTCAGCTCTTAGGATGCTCCAAAGCAAGACTGAACCTATGGGACTTTTCTGAGGCATGGGAGAGAGCACATTAGATTTGGAGTCAGAACAATTGGGTAACGTCTCTGATCTTCCACAACTTAACTTCTATGGTCACCTCCCAGAGCTCCAGTTTCTTCACTCTTAGAGGACAATTATTCCTATTTTACAAGGCCATTGACTGGTTGCAGCGAAGGATAAGCATAATAGTAAGTTATTAATTGTTAATGTCATAATTAATGTCTCCTTTTTGACTCCTTGTCTTAACATTACAAAACTATAGTTCTTCCAGCATACCAGGTCCCACCAGGCACAGCCACCTGGGACGGAGTATTCTCATTTTGCAGATAATTAGCTTAGAGGTTTGCAATGGTAATAGGATGAGATTAATAGACATCAAATGCTTGCAACAATATTGGCTGCTGCTTTATTCTAATGGAAAATTTTTGCCTGATTCTTAGCGGTGCCTCTGTCTTTAGGTCAACTTCCTGGGCCACTGCATTCCTCATAGTTTGTGATGTCTACCAACTTACCCAACCTCAGACCTTGCCATAGGAAGCAAGTACTTATACGTTATCCTTAAAAATATCAATGGATCTTCTTGTTCACTCTGTTTTGGTTGCAGACATGAGAACACATGTTAGCTGATTTGTGAGTACACGGCAGAAGTTCTGTTTGAGAATTTCATCTGCTGGTGAGTAAACAGAACATGGTGCTCCTGCTGAGTTCCGACAGCTACCAAAGCAAAGATGTTTTCAGTGGAGTAACTATGTCTAGTCCTGATCACTTTCCCCTTACAAGCCATATTTTAGGGCAGGATGTAAGTCATATTTATTTAGTCTGGTTTGTACCCTGTTGTCTGGCTCCTGTTTATTCTTTTTTTAAGGTTTATATTTCTTTTTGATTTATCACATATCCTAAGACACCCTAGGAAGGAATATATTCTGAAAATATAATAAGAATAAATTCTATAAATAATACCTGAATGGTTAAAAAAAAGCCAGGAGAACTATGATTTTATAATATTTTATTTATTAGTAATGGATGGTAACAAGTAGAAAGAATATTTAATTTAATACACATTTATTGAGTGGCCTTCTTTATACCAGACGCACCACCCTGTGAGATAAGTATCCCTATTTTATAGATGAGAAAAGTGGTTCAAATAAGTTAAATAGCTAGCTGAAGAGCCCAAGTCTCTTAGCCAGAAAAAATAAGATTAGGTTCTCCAAAAAGGCTCTTTGACTTCATTTTTTTAAAAAACAGAACCATCGTTTACAAAAATTAAAAAAAAAAAAAATGGGGTCTGGCTATATTGCCCAGGCTGATCTTGAACTCCTGGCCTCAAGGAATCCTGCCTTGGCCTCCCAAAGTGCTAGGATTATAGGTGTGAACCACCACGCCTGGGTTGACTTCAAATTAGAAATTTGTTCTTTGTATTTAGTCAGTTTTCTCTTATTTTCCTGCACAGATTACCCCACACAAGAGCACACATCCACATATGTTCTTACACATGTATGTGCACATACACATACATGGGAATCCTAATTACTAGTTCAAGCAGCACAACAGTTCCCCCAGGCTACATTTAATTTAATCCCAGCATCCCTAAAAGAAGTTAACCAAACAGGCAGTTAATTCCTCTGTGCATTGTTCACTCACATATTAAAACTGTTCATCTCATTTCTCTGGACGCTCTCCCCAAGCCGCTGTCCTCAGTGTTGAAATTCCTTATTACTCATTGGGTTGATGTGGAGATCTTATTGCAAAAGCACCGTGTAAACTGGAAATGTTTTCTTATTATCTAGTTGGGGGAATCCAGTCCACTTTATCTAGTTGACTGTGGTGAGAGGTTAACTCTAAACCACACCAGTTATATCATTGTTCCAGGAATTGAATTGAGTGGAATTAAAAGACTTTTCCAAACAACTCAAACCAAGCAAACACTTCCTGATTTCCTCTCTCAAACCAAATATGTTGGCCTGTGGTGAGCAAATATTAACTGAATGACTAAATGAAAGCAAACAGATTCTAATTACTCTCTCCAGTACTTACCACTTAACCTCAATGAAACTTCCCAAGATGTTTGCTGAGAACAACTCTCAGTTAAGTAGAGACTAGAAAAGGTATATGTCTTAGTAGAGTAGGTGGAGACCTCCAAAACACTCCCTTCTCAAGGATACTAAACCGTCTCATTTACATAAAAGCAAAGAGAAGACAATTCCCCACCCTACCTGCCCATGCACTATGTCCTAACACTGCCGACAGACACTTTACGTTCTCCATTTTGAACTATGATCAGAATACCTGGGTTCACATCTCTGCTCCACTCCCCAGCGTTGTGA